TTTGCGTTTTCTTCTCAGCAATCTCCGACTGTAGCCTCGACTTGCCACAACTCGACTTCTACTTCTATAAAATGAGCGACGAAGTCGCGATAGGTGAGCGACGGTTTCCGCCCGACTATCAAAACAGCGGAAACGGACTCTGAGAAAGTCCAACCGGCCAGCTTTTAGTCGGGAGCTGTCGGATTTACTTAAGAAGCGTCGGATAACCTTCGGCTAAGTCGGTTAGCATCACACGTCGTGGTCGGATGCTTTCGGAGTTGAGCATAAACGAACTACTATTCGTCGGTTTTTTTCCATTGAGCCCCATTATGGAGGTTCTGAACCTCACGTTTTCTCTTTAAATTTTTCTTTCTTATGTTTCTTGTGCTTCTTTTCCTTTTTCTCCTCATCGACTTTAGTCTTCTTCCTCTTTTCCTTCTTTCTTTTCTTCTCTTTCTTTCGTTTCACGCCGTTCGTTTGGACGGCTTCGTGTTCAACCTGTTCTCTGCTGCCGCTGTGACCTGCATCGTAAATGTAAATAAGAAGCATATAAGAAGTAGGCAACTAATTAACCCGACTTGTTCATCATAATCAGAGTTAAACTTTTGTTTCCACAGTATATAAACCGGCTAGGGGAGCCCGGGGGGTGGGGGGGAGCTCGTCGTACCTTTTAGGGGTAAGGTAAGGCGGTTTTGGTCCCTGTTAGGATGTTAAGCCTCCACATAACAGGATCTTGGTACCTCCCAGGGCTTCTTTTCAAAATTTCCGACGAGCACGCCCGTCCTTTTATAAGGAAGTCTTCCCCCCAGGGACGGGAGTAGGAGTAATGATATTGATTTTATGTGTGTGAAACCCCCTTCGTTGCCCATCAACCCGGTTTATCATTTTGCTGTGTGACTCAAACACTGTGCAAGTACACTGATATGCATTTTAGGGTTGCATGGGCAATGCGCAAAAGAGTCAAGCTGAGTGCTTTGTGTAAATTGTTACACTTTTCTGGTGCATTGGAGCACAAGACACGTCATGTTACTGGGAACTGAGATAATAATTCCTGACTGTTGACAGAAAAAAATGGTCTTACCTTCACCTGTTAGGATGATTGAGTATCCAGACACTGCTGCTTCTGCTAAGCGGTCCAGCTCTTCATCATTGGTATCGCTGAAAAAGCAATACAAATAGTATTCAAGATGTCTATTTTCTGCTGAGGTATGGATATAAGTCAAGAATGAAGGACACTAGCTGCAGTAAATGAAATGAACACGTGACCACATCACAATATTATTGTAATTGCATTTATTAAGCAATTGATATTTAAGCCGAAAAATCTACTTTTAAAGTTGTTTTCAAAATCTTTCTTCGGGTTAAATTTTAAACTGCAATTACAATATTATAGAGATCGTCACATCTTGTATTACCACGGTTCACATCAATCTCATTCTATGTACATGTTTTATTTCTTTCAGAGGTTAAAATGAATTTGGCCTGCTCCCAATGTATGGGTCATCATAGGTCTGTTGGTAGAACGCTGCATTGCTAATTCTGAATTCCTGAAAATGTCTTTCAGGAACTGCTTAAATTGTGATTACAACCTTGCAGATAGTAACATCTTCATTCCACTTAATTTATTTCTGAAGCTCCAGGACATGATTGTCATTCTATTGATCTCAGTAAACAGACATATGTCTCGGTGCAATCAGTTCTTCCCCCATCCAAGAGATCTCTGAGATTAGATCAAAAAAATTCCCACACTCACACTGATAATGTACATGTAGGATGTTTGATAAGATCTTGGGAACATCCTTGTTATAATCAAGGATCTTACATTACTTGCAAGGCTATAACACTCCAAATACAAATTAGTTATAACAGGTAAACATAATAAGACTACGTGCTTCCCATTTGGAGACTGAGTCGAATTTTGCAGGTAGGGGAATTTTTTGAATTCAATTATTTGAAATCCAAATTGGACCAGGATGTAATCGTATTTACTGATATTTACATTGTGCACACTGAACTGCCCAAAATAGCTTGTCAATTTGGACCTAACCCAAATGAAGAATTTATTTGGACAGCTTCCAAAATTAAAATAATAACAATAATAATAATGGCATCCATGCTTGTATGGGATTATGGGCTGAACACTACCTTTCACTACTGCTTGAAATGTTAATCTTATTCTTTTTGCTGACAGTAGAACTGGATTCTTCCAGTAATCTGTGATTGGATGTCAACAGCAACCTGATCCCAGAAGATTCATGTGAACTGTTGTCATGTCCATATGGTAGACGTTCAACTTCTTGAATGCTAACATGACAAAGAGAAAATTTATTGACACATACAAAGCATCAAGCTTTTGGCAAAGTGTATAACATCAGTGATATCATTTCACTTAGGTACGAAGCAAGAATGACTGCAGTCCCCAAGCCTTAAAAGGAAATAGCCGGCAGGCAGGCTGTTGCTGTGCTTGAAAACCAAGGGGAGCTTCTGTTAGGGAGGCCCTTGGCTACCAGCTACTACCAGTTGATACCAAGCAAGGCCCCCTGGGTCTAACCCCAAGGGGGGGGGGAGGGCTGGGGTGGGTCACAGAGAGAGGCATTTTTGACGGTAAAACTGGTCATTTTCTTTGCAGGACAGCCTTAGCCTACCATCCCCTGCAGGCTTAGGGTCCTGTAGCCAGCCAGCCACACAAAAGCAAGGTAGGTCAGTAAGCTGTGTAGTGACAGACTGCCTGACTGATTGAGTGAAAAAGTCAATGAATTTTCTTGGAAGAGTAGTAGAATGGTTGTGTTGAAATTAATACAGTTTTCATAAATCTAGCCTGCGTCGCAGACAGTCTAAACCGCCGGTGTAGTCTGTCTGTGCAACGGCTCCCAAAAGCTTGTTCTGATATCCCGCAGTTTGTGTATCCATTTTTGATTGGCTAGTTTCTTATGCACTTTCTGATTGGATAATTCTTACGAAAGCGATCACGCAACTATCACGTAATGCTAAAAATAATTGTGTGCAGGTTTCCCAAGAACATTTGTACATTTGTACATTATTAAATGTCAAAACTACTTCGAGTTGGAAATAAGATGTCTGTAATAACAGAAGAAGATTGGCAAAAAGAGTTTAAATCTGTGAGAGAGCAGTTTGAAATCGATAATCTTCTACCTGAACAGGAAAACTCACTTCGCAAATTTCTTGGAGGTCAAAATGTTTTTGTAAATTTGCCGACAGGCTACGGTAAATCTTCCGTTTTCCAGTGCCTTCCGATCGCTACTGATGCTCTGTTCGAAAAGCCTCATGGTTCTAATGTTCTCAGTGTAATATCGCCATTGCGATCGCTTATGGAAGACTAATATTCTCTGGCGAAGCCGCACAAAGATAAATATGACAACCGTGATAAGAAGCAGCATAACTTGCAACAGTCAATTAAACAGCTGGGCCCGGCATAATAATACAAAATGCAAGTAACCAACATGTTTGCAGAATATTTCACACTTTTTACCTCCAGAGCTAACATTTAGAGAGCTTAAAACATATCCTGCAGTACAAATGAGCCAAAAAAAAAAACTAGCATGTTTCAGAAAAGAGAGGTGTCAAACTCTTACAAATTACACGTGGATAACAGCAGAAACCACACAGACCTATGACCTCTAATGGCTCTACACTGGAAATGTCCTCCTAAAAACACAGGATTATTGCTTAACAAAATATTCAAAGATCCCCCTATCATATCATACAAAAGGGGCAGATGCTTAAAGATATACTAGTTCAAGCAAAACTTTCAAAGCGGCTATTACACGTGGATAGAAGTTGTGCAGGCCTGTCACTCTATTGTTAGCATTGCGTGATATATTTCGCAAGAATATGACCAATCACAAGGCACGTAAGAAACTAGCCAATCAGAAATGGATACACAGATCCGTGTATCCATGCGAGAAATCAGAACAAGCTTTTGGGAGCCGTTTCGCAGACAGACTATATCGGCGATTTTATGGCACGTCCGGCTGCAATGCAGGCTACATAAATCCAGACATAAATTATATTTCATAAATTACCAGATGTAGTTCTTGTCCAGAAATTTTGACAGCTTCTTCGCAACATGTTGTCTAAACTCAGGTGTTATCAATTCCGATGTTGAGGAAGCAATGTCCTCATCCTCCCGCCAGTGTCTTCAGTAAACAACCACAACAACAATTTAAAAAAAACGTCAATGAAATGAACTTGAGATTAAGAAAAAACAAAGAGTCTCACATTAGGTAGCTTAAGCAATGACGACCTCAATGCCAACGCCAAGGAAGATGCCAAGTCAAAAATGAATTTATATTTTACAGCAAAATTCACAATTGTCTAGATCTGTTTGGTATGCCAATGGCTCTAAAAATGTTCTCAGGCTAAATATGCAATGACAGCATTTAATTCCAAATGGAAATACAAAAAATAAGCCATCATTGTTCGCATTCCTCAGACTACGTACAGAATTTTGTCATGTCATGTTCTTGTTTTGCAGAAGACGGCAAAGAAATGTATAAAGATTTATGCACGTGCACAGCTATTGTTGTGCTCATTAAATCTTTTGTTTGGTGATGTTCTTGTTGCCATCTAGATCGTGGTTTGCTTAAGCTCCCTATTTTGAGGTGAACAGAAAACAACCTCATCACTGCACATTGTATGGTCCTTCTCATTCCCTTGAGATCCCCATGCTCTTCTCTAAATTAGTAAATCCATTCCTTAGGGAGGGTCGGGGAGTAGAAGAGGGGGGGAGGGTATGGCGTTAAGCTGAAGTAAATTGCACATTCACTGGATCTATATATACATACATGAGCTAGTATGTCTCTCTTAATCCTTAATTATTTGGTCTACTCTATCCTTCTTTATTTGCTTTCGTTAATCTTTAAAATATAGGAAATTAAACTTAAAGTTTTTCATTACAAAGTTCACTGACCTCAAACTTGGCTTAGATTTTGCAGGTGAATGGGAACTGCCATTAAATTTAACGACCTCTATGAAAGAAGTTAACGACAAAGTGAGTTTACAGATATAAAATTATTTTGCTCTTACCATATCTCACCTGAGTTAACAATGTCAGTTATGACAGCAAATTTCTCCAAGTCTTCTGCCTCGGAACTTTCACTTGAAGAGGCCATGTTGAATGTTAGACAAGACTACCCCCCAAGAAAATGAAATTTTTGTGTCTTGAGAACGAGGCTATATTCAAACTTACTCTCTCCCGGTCAAAAGAGCGCAAACACTGTCAGAAAATAAGAAAAACATAGAGGCTGATGATTAATTTTTACGGAGAAACAACGTTTATTCAGTCACGTCGTTATAAATGCATGAAAACATGGTTTAGCTGGGCGGATTTGAAATTTAAAGTCAACAAAGGTCATGGCATCTAATGTACCGTATAGCATGAAAAATGAGCTGTTGAATTCAGCAGACGAGGAGGACAGCGACGTTTCCGAAATAGCAACACGTACAAGACGATCAAAGAAGAAGGAACGAGCTCCTAGACCTTTAGAACCCAATGTTGAGGTGCAGAATAATCTTGAACATGCTGAAAGAAGCGGGGAAGTAAGTGAAGACAGAGATCTAGGGTATGGAGGTGTATGGTCGGCAAATAAGGTAAACCTCAACTCCAAATTACGTTGCTTCTTGTAGAAGCCTGTAGAGGTGTAGTGACTGTGACTGTGAATGTGCGTTTGTTGTACAGGTTGAAACGTATTTTTAGGTGCACGTTGCGCTGTTATCTCTGTCGACTTACAGCAAAAATCTTTAATTTCGATATTTAAGGTATCTTCTCGGTTTCTTCTTTCTTTTTGTAATAGTCTTTATTTATTTATGACTAACAACTAGTAGGCGTGAAAAACAGAGTTTCAGACTGTTCTATTTCTGGACATGACTGACTAGAAGTCGTGACGCATTCTATGCTAATCTACTAAAATACTCTTGAAAACTGAAATTTTAACATCTTGTCGTACCTTACTTGCTGCCAGTACATCTCCAACTGCTGTGTAAATAAATAATTTAATTTAATCTATAAAATATTCATATTAACATGCTCAGTCAGTTTATGTTCTATTTCTCACCCCTCCTTCTCTCTCTGTGGCTGTTGAAGAAGTACTCTTATATTTCTTTTATTGTTCTTCTCGTATTGTTTTCTTCTCGCTCCGGTTTAGCTATAGTCTAGCACTTATGCAGCAGTCATATCCCCCCACCCCCTCCCTGGGCTGTCCCCTGGGCATTAGAGATTTTGAATTTTTGACTGGTCAAATTTCCACCTCTTGGGACAAAAGTGATGTTTATACTTAATAATCCAATACCCCAACTCTAGAACATACATAAGAAAAATTATTTGTGGAAAAGAAAGAAAGTCACCCTTGAAGGGCCCACTTGCAGCTTCCATTGTGCCACGAATAATTCTTATATATATATTATTAAACCTAAAAACCTTTAAACTATTAAAAAAAGTAAAATAAGAAAATAAAATAAAATAATTAAAAAAAAATAGATAAATAAATATTAAAAAACTAGAAGTGACTAAAATTTCACAAGTGAAACTTTACATTATCTTCAAATACTGTACAAACCTTTTAGAGATACTGCTTTTGATCCACAATGTAATATTACCAAGAAGGGTATTGTATGTTGATACCTTCTGTAATGCTGTGATCACCACAACCTCATTGAAGGCAACTTGTTCAAATCCCGCTTACCCCTCCTATAATAGTATCGAATTCCCTACCCATTATCAACCACTGGCTCTTCCCAATTGAATCCCCGGAGATGGGCACATTGACTAGTCAAATCATTTTAAAAAATCATCAAGTTGAAACAATCATATGAAAGTCTTGACCGTGACTGTGTTTGGATATCTGATCTTGATTTTTATCACAATACTGTAAATGTTTTCTGCTTAGTTTTAGTTTCGATTGAGAAGATATACTCATTCAAGACAGTTTTTCCACCAAATTTCCAAACACATTGAATTTCATTGAAACCCCTTGGCTACATTTTGTGTATGTGTGATATTTACAACTCTTTTCTTGGTGTTTGGAAATGTGGTTAAACACGGTCTTTCGTATTGATTTATTTATTGATGTATTACATTCATTCAATGATTGTCAAGGGTTGTCAAGTCTTAGAACCTGGCAGCAAAAGGCGTTTTGTTCTCAGCTACAAGTATGGTGTACCACAAGTTCCTGCTCAAGAAAAAATCTACTGTGAAGTCGTGGGTGGCAAATATTGTGGCAATCCTTGAACATGATCACTTCTGTGCTTTTGATTAGAAGTTATATCAGCCTGTAGAGGAGTTTGATCTGAGCAGGAGTTTGATCAAGATTATATTTTACTAAATAAATATGATGAGCCACTAAATCATTTTGATCTTATTTTGTAGTTTCAAGCCTCATCAAGCTCATATGGTGCAAATTCTGATAGGAGAAAAACAGAAAGTGTTGGGTATGTGTTAAAAGCTACCCTTCAGGCCTAATGGAAAGATTTGAGAGGGGGAGCTATGAATGATTAATTTTAAAAACTTTCTACAGAACTGTGTTCTTTTGTGAGATATATCACTCTGTACAATACAGAGTTCAGATGCATGTACAATCATGTAATCTTGCAAAATCTGTATACTATTATATATATATAGTAAGAAACTTATAACCATGTGCTAGAAGAGCAACAATATACAACCTCAACGAGGAGAATTCAAAATGTTTACCATGCGAGGATTCCGACCTGAAGGCCACTTACTATAAGCAAATTCTTTGCAAATTGACCACTGGCATTTAAAGGTTTTCAAATAGTTACTAATCAAAATGACCACAAATCTGTTGCCTTTGTAATGTACGGCTTGATACAGGGAGAATATTGTTAACCTCCACAATTTTCATTCGCTAAATTGTAGAAAATTTTGTTAGGTGGCCTAATGGTTAGAGAAGTCACACTAAAACATATTATGGGGTGTCCAGTCATTTTATAAAATTACTATTATAATATTAAACCTGTTGTTTTAATGCAGCAATGGGTATTCTCATGAACGCTGATCAGGATTTTGCATTTTGTGATCTCTTATAGTGGAAACTCACTAGAATTTGATTCTCAAGAAGATGTTAGTAACTTTAAAAAAGAAGCACTATTGTAAGTACCGGTATGACAATTTTTGATGCAATTTTTAGTGATGAACTAACATTTTTAAAAATTTTAGGTAGTCAATGACATTTGAAGATTTTTTTTATATACTTAAATCAAGGCTCCCCGGTAGCTATAATAATATTATGTTTTTCTAGTTAACCCAAATGATGGTCATGTACATTTAGATTCCTTCATGTGTCACTAGTGCAGCTGTCATAACTCTTGAGTTTGAAAAAGCACTAAAAATGTAACATGTAAGCTTCACATCTGTCAAAATCCCCTCCCATTTTCCTAGAGTATAGGCACGTATAATATTATGTAGCTACTGTATTTGTCTTGACTTACCTCTCAAAAATTAAAATAAGAAAATTCCCCTTGAGATCCTCCTAGGCTATGTACCGTATCAACCCTGATAAGATCCTGGACCCTTACATAGGTCCTTTGAAGTGGTATTTGTTATTAGTGTTTCCTGATTACAAGTTTTTATTTGTTTGTCAACAGTTGGCTAAGACACCCAAGAATAAGAGAAAATTGGAAGACTGTAACAGCAGCTTTTTTGCTTTTTGTGGCTGGAATTGGTATGTATGAATTTCATTTGTAATCCTCTGTGATGATATTACTGCATGTCTTGAACTGCAGATGTAGGCATATGCCTGGAGCTAGAGAATGAGGTGCAACCAATTAATAAGCTGTTTATAGAAAAAGAGAGAAACAGACTCAAAATCTATACAACTGAACACCGCTGATAAATATTGTTGTTTCATGAAAACAAGCTGCAAATAAAGGAAGTGCATCTTCTATTGATTTGACCATAGAACAAAATTCCTTTTCTTAATGGTACTGACAGGGATCCTTTACAGAATGCTCTCACTTTTCTAACCTCTTCATCTAATAATTAGACAATTATTGTCCTCCATATTATTGACACCTAAAAATAAATAATTTTGTGTGCACCCTCACATACTGTACCCCCACTGAGAAAGACCCTACTTATTATAAATAAATTATAATTTATTGGTTTACATGCAAGTTTTATGTATTCAAAATTTGCTCAGTAACTAAATGATTTTCTGTTTCTTTCTAGCTTTTCTTTTAGCTGGAATAATTCTGGCAGCTACAAAGCAGGATGGTGTGTATTCTTCCTTTTCTCTCCTGACTTCACTAATTTTCTTAAGATTAATAATATTAATATGACAAGCAAACGTACATGTTTTAATAATGAAATGTTGTTTTTCTTACTTAGGAATGAAGAGTGTTATATTTTTTGTGTGTGCTGCTATCTGCATTCTTCCTGGAGGTAAAATTATTATCATTTGTTTTGATGCTGATTCTCAAAAACCCCTAGCCTGGTCTCCCTCACTGTTCTCTTTTCCACGACCTACATGTAACAATTAACTGCACGCTGCCCAGCAAATTAAATCTTGAATTACGTCAACAGGTTTCTGATCCCTCTTTGTTTGTCTTTGGCAGGATATCACATAATTTACATATACAGAGCTACAAAAGGGCAAAGAGGCTACAACTTTGAGAGTATACCTTCATTCCAATGACAAAATAATAAATATATCTTCACAGTGTCATTCATTTGTAGCTGTCTGTGACAGTGTGGTTTAGAAAGTATTCTCAGATAATTGTACCATTTTTTTTTTTTTTTTTTTTTTTGANAGTGTTTGCAACAACAGAAACTGGTCAGAGATACCAAATGTATCATTGCACGTTAATTCAACTCAAAATTCTGCAAACGACTTTTTCAAATTAAATCGACCACTCGTAACCCTATTTTAATTTTTTTTTTTTTTTTTTTTTTTTGACAGGCATTATGATGTGTTTGATTGTATAAAGACAGTTTGTTCCTACAGGCTACATTTTTTTAATAAAAAATTAATGTTATGTTAAAGTTCTGGAAAGGGGAAGGGTACATTTTTTGGAAATATTGTGAGAAACTAAAACGCACCCAAAATTTTTGTAATGTTCCAAATTGAAGATTATATTATTAATTTTGTAGTTTCCTAGTAAACATTTCTTTAAATTTAAAAATTTCTTTAAATTTGAGGTAAACAGGATGCTGCGTCTTGGAGACAGCCTTAATAAGAGTTGTTGCCCCTCATTGAATTTGTGATAAATAATTATTTAATATTTTATTTAAGTGCACTGAAATGTGTACTACTCTATCTGTAAATTAGTGTTCTGTTGTATCATAAAAAGCAAAATTAATATATACCAAATTAAATTAATGAACTTTTGATCTCATGTTTGATGAGGATTATCACTGACAGGACATCTCTCGTGTTGAGGGCAGGGGTTCAGCAGGGGTTTCATTAATGTTTTCAGCAGAAGGGCAGCTGGTTTTTGCAGACGGGCAAAACTATTTGAACCACACTTCTTTATAAGTAAAAATTTCCTCTAGATGGTCAAACCAGGCAGGCAAAATCTTCCTTCCAGCCAGTCAGTTTGCCCAGTGCCAAACCCCTGTTCAGTTAAATGTGATTTTCCCATGCATACAAATGAAACTGAATGAGCCAAGATTTGTCCATATCCATACCTCACCTACAGAATAAGACCCCCACCCCTCTGGAAATTCCAATTAAGCTTCATACATTTCTTTAAAATTTTTTTGGTCTTACAAAACCCCACCCCCAACCCCAGGAAATTCCAATCCCTTCTAGCCTGAGGGGGAGAGTATGGACATTTTCTGGAACTGCACAATAATTTTAGTGACTCATCATGGGAAATTTATATAGTGTTTAAGAGATACTATTAAAAATGTGCACTATAGCATGATATTGTAATGTAGAACTTGTTATTGATTTAATTTATTTTCATTCCTTGCTTGCTTTCCAACTTTTGTGCATAAAGCGGCATGACATTTTTTTAAACGTGAGTTTTCTATATCACAACTCCAGTAGTGGGGCACAAGACTGCTATTGAATTTGCATTAGTGTACATCAATAAACTGCTGATTCTGTAACATCAACAGAATGTGTTTCTTAAGTAGTATACATTGAAGGAAAATTAATAAACATTTTCAATCCTGGATGTACATCTGATTTTGTTGTTGTTGCTTTAATATTCGTAATTGTATGCTTGCTTGTTTCCTTTGTATATCTGAAGATAACCTGTTGTGTGCACATGTATGTGAAAGTGGTTGTTATTGTCAGTTAAACAAATAGGTACCATATTGCTGTGCGTCTGTTCACAGATGACGTTAAAATGTGGTAAGAACAGAAAAGTGGCCCACAATGCAATAGGCGAGTGTGTTACTGATCATGACTGATGTTCTTACCTCATATTTTTGACGTCTAAGCACTGTGATCAGTTATTTCTGAACAGGCACACAGTAACATGGAATTTATTTGTTTTATATAATAAATAAACAAACAAACAAAAAATTATTGTTTTAAAGTGATGTCATCTGTGCACCTGTCCTCTAACTGATCAGTTATTTTAATTATTGAAGTGCACAAGCAATTTGACATAATTAAATAAAACATGACTTTCCCTATCGGTTTCATTGCAAGTGCTTTAAGCTTCTTTTTCACTCTATATTAATTTACATCAGTAACTATTCATTCAGTTCTGTTTTGATATTATATTCATTTATGTTTTGATGTTCAATCCGTCCGTTCCCAACCCATGTTACCGAGGGCAAAGAAAACAATTCGAATGACCCTATGCAGCCATGGGCCAAGGGTGGCGATCAAACTGGCACAGCATCCTACCCTCGCTGTCACGCTCGTTTTGTTGCTTTCAATGTCACGCAAATTTTGCTCTCTTTCACTCATAATTATTCGGATAGCGAAGGTGCGTTATTTTCCGCACATCAGATACATCAAATTCAGTCAGAAGGACCAGTTTAATTTATAATAAATATTTCTTTCAGCAGTGTACAGGACTAGATGACAAACGCCTAGTTTTTTTTTTTTTTTAAGACTCGTATCAATGACGGAGTCAATTCACGCATGCCGCCAGAAATCGGAGTTTGGTGAGGCCTTCTGTTTTATTGATTCTCTAGTTGTTTTGCTCTGTTTTGTTTTCTGCTTGTTTTGAATGAATGGCCAAGTTGATACTGGAGTCAGGTGATGCAAAACATTTGATGGGGAAAAAATATATAGGAAACCATGTTTGGCTGGGGCAGGATAAACCGAAGCTCAGTTTGCAGTTTGCGCGATCATTGGTGTGGGTTTCCTTTCGTCTTCTTGTTTTTAATGCCCAATTTTGGAAAAGATGATTGTACATCGACTAATGAAAATTAAAACGAAAATTCAAATGAAAAAAAAAAGTGTCTTTGGCAGGGCTCGAACCTGCGACCTTCCGCGTGTGAGGCGGACGTGATAACCACTACACTACAAAGACAACCTACCATTAAAAGGAGAAAATTATATTATTTATTTTAATTTTGATTTTTTGTAGTCGTTGTTGAAAATAGAACTCGGGCAAGTTTCTGTCGGTCAAAGTCAGTCCCCTATGTTCAAGACTTGATATTTTCATTACGTTTTGAAATTTGAAATTTGAATTTTGAAATTCTTATATACGACAATACCATTAGAGAACTGTGTAGTAGCTACTACCGAATTCAACCGTTCTTGCTCCCCTTGTTAACTCTTTTCCATACGGTATTTAATTTAAAATCTCAAAAATTTCCGCAGACTGTAAAAGAAATGCATATAGCTGCTTGCTTTTCATCCTGTCTACTTTTCTCCTACCAAAAACAAATGTAGTTAGTCGACGCCATTTCAACTTAATTACCTGGACCGGGTCGGTGAACCAGATATTACGTCCGCAGATATCACGTAACGCACTATAGCATCAAACTATTATGCCTTTAAAACAAGTGCATTGTGTTAATTTTATAAGTTAAATTTATTTTAATTTTGTAACTAAAGATTCATAGAAATGTGAAAACATGAAATTTTGGAACAAACAAACAAAATCGTGAAAAAAAAATTGTTTAATTGCTAAATGAAAATCAGAGTTTATCAGATCCCCAAGGAAATCTGAAACATCTGCAGGGTTATCTCATAAAGAAAACGAAGTTGGATTTGTACAATCAAATTTTAGATTCGCATACGACTCCATTTTGCCTGTCAATATTCTTTTCTCATTTCACTTTGTTCTAGACGAAATGGATTTTCTGAATCAACAACTAATTTTTGTCTGCTTTAACACGTGCGGAAGTATTGTTCCAAAGAATTTAATCCCGGAGTCCATTTGGCGTCCATTGTCCAGATTCAAATTTTCTCAATTCTCCCCCACGCGGTAAGGTTTGCGCGGTTATTACTTTCAGCCATTGTCCATTACATTCAAGGCAGTTTTATACGCATTTTACCCGCATTTTCCTTCCAAGGCTCTTCTTGGGTGATTTTCTGATTCGAGTAATGCCACGAAAACGTAAGCATTCGAGCGAAGAAGAAGATGAGGAGCCCGAAGAAGTTGAAAGTAATGTCCGAACGAAGCGGCGGGCTGCCGTGGAGGCACGTGATCGCGTTGCGGCGAAGGAGGGCGCGAGCGACGATGAAGACGAAGAAGAGGACGACCTTGAAGAAGAGGACGACGACAAGGACGAGGATTACGAAGGCGAAGGAGTTGGAGATGAAGAAGGGGACGAGGAAGGTGATGAAGATGACGAGGAAGAGGACGAAAACGAGGGGGCCCCGGCTGCAGAGGGCGACGAAGATGAGGAAGACGATGAAGAAGTCGAGGACGAAGAACAAGAACCGGATACAGTCGAGTGCATCCTGGCCGATTTAGAGGAACCAACCAAAGGTGAATTAGTGATTTATTACGCCCATAGGCTTTTCAAAATTAGTACTGAGTTACAAAACATCTCTTTTTGCTTTCGAAAGCTGTTCTGTGGGTCGTTCGTGATCAAGTCGCGTGTCCAGTCGCGCGCGATCGAACACGAACTTCAAGGGGAATATTGGAGTTCGAGCTTAGCATGTTTTTGAGCTTTAATTTTCGTTTTACACAAACCCAGCTTCTGGAAAATTAGCGTGCAAAATTACTTTTTCTTTTAAATTTTACTCTGTTCAGCTCGCATGTTCTTGAATATCTTTTGTCTTCAAAAGCGTGAGTGCATCTTTTGTTTTGTGGAACACGTGGGAATTTTCAGAGGTCAGTCAATGGTCTTTGTTAGCTGTCGCCATGTTTTCTATAAATTACAGTATATATCAGATCGGAGCCTCTGATTAACTCGTGTTTGGGGTTACTTCACCTCCCTTTGGGTTTTTGTTTTTAGTTTGTTCGTGTATAAACAAACGTGCTTCTCGTTCCAGACAAAAGCCACACGCGAACAACTTGACTTCGTTGTCATGTCTTGTTGATATCTTCCACCGACCTGGAATATTGCGAAAGAAGTTGGGTGAAAAATCTGATCCAATTGACCTTCGTTATTTCTCGCATTGTCACATTCCAATACTGTTCCCCGATGTTTGTGATTTATGTTTGTGATTTATGGTAGTGACGTCATGGGCGGTCTGTTCTTTTTTCTTTTACTTTTACCTAACATCGACTTGCAGAAATGAAAATTTACTCTATATTCATGCTGGTTCAGTGCTGCACTTAATAGTCCATGTTAATTAGTCCACTAATTTCCATGTCAATAGTTTTAACATGGAAAATCCTTTTCAAAGGCATAAACTTAACCATTTTTGTTAATTCCAAACCCTTCTAAAAATAATATATTTGCCCTCCTGAAAACAAGAAGCTTGAAGAAGCTTAAAGCAGGGCTGTTTAACTCCAAAAAAGATTTGAGCTTCTCAGCATCTGTTTTTCCTGGTTTAATAAGCAGTCTTTAAAGAAAGCACTTCCAGAAACTGGCCCACCCAAAACTAAGCTCCCTGAAAAAATTATGCATTTGAAACTGGTGTGTTTTTTTCAGAAGTTTTATCCAGAGATCTAGTAGTAACTAGGTCACCTTCTGTTGGACCAATGAGTCTAACCACAATTTGTTTGGTTGATTTGGTTGAAGAGACCCAGAAAAATATTTTTAACTTGGTGTCTCTCTGAACCTTACAGATACTCCAGGTTACGTTCTGAAGAAAAAAGACAGCCCAAAGAAAATGGATCTCTGCTTCATGGGTGAAATGCGGGAAACACTGGTTGATGTCACTGAAGCTTTCCAAACGCAATTTGAAGAGAAGAGACTACCTGTTCTTCAAGTAACAAAATTCGACATGATAGGAGATGCTAAAGATACAATGCAGGTAAGAAAATATAAGATAGATGAAATAAATAGGTTACTAGGTTGACTGGTACTTGCATATGATGCCATAAATAGTCCCTGAAATGAAAACCAACCTGCATTTGGAGGTTTCTTTATATAGTATGTACACTGTTCATATTTTCAATCTACCTGTGTAACTACTGAGATTTAATGACTGTCCTTTTCTTTACCTAGATTGACGTTCTGGAGGTCAAATATGACAAAGCATATGATATCCGAGAAATAGGTGACGAAAGTGATGACATACTTTCACAACATTTTTATTGCATTGTTCGGGTAGACGGAATTGATGGCACTTGGGCTACGCAATATTTTGAGCCAGAACCTGAGGACTGATAGGTTACACAAGAAAAGTAAAAAGTGGAAGTGGAAAGAAAAATAGAAAAAAAACGTTGTCTAGAAAACTGTAAAAACTGGAGAAAAACATTTGTAGACCCTAAATCATGATCAAATGGCTTTAAAGCTCGTAGCAGTCTGTTATAATTATTAGCTCAACTAATAGTGGTGTTTGTCAAGTTTGTGTTGTGGAAAACTTGTGTTGTAATTTTGTTTTTAGTGGCTGTAGCAGCTGCAACTTAATTTAGTTAGTATTTGAATTCTAAAAGGCAATGTCATCTTAGTAAGATGAGCACATCAGAGGTATTGAAGCAATAAATTGTGACAGTATGTGACTGTTTTTTTAGGACTGTAGTTCAGAGATTTGTAAAAAATGAGTAATAAAAGTTAATTTACACCATCTGATTTAAGTGAACATTAACTTTTTCTTTTTATAAATTTCTCCTCTATTATTAGTATAAATTTACTGTTGTTTATATTTGTGAGTCCATAAATTTGACTGGCACTATTACCATTTTCTATCTGCTGAAAGAAAACAGTTGAACACATAATTTTGATTTACCTGATGCACGATGCACAATAGAAGAGTTCTTTTCTATGTGTTGCTTGACGTTTTTATGCTATGAGACTAAGTAAATTTACAAAAAAGAAATAGACTACATTACTTGTAAAAAATTTCGGACAATTTCAATTTCTAGCTTTAAGTGTCTAAAAATACAGCCATCCCAAATTTTTAAGCAACCAAAATTTTAAGCATCCGAAATATTTACAGTACAGTATAAAACTTTTTAAATAGTGCAAAAGCTCTTAGTTTCCTTTATGGACCAAACTCTAGTTAACACAGAACTTGAGATACATAACAGCTTGATAGATTACAACTTGTGTTATTTTCTCATTGGTGTATCTGTAAAACCTTGAGGGTACAAAAAAACTATAATCATAATTTTTCATAGATGTTGTTTGAAACTGTTAAATGCATGTTTTTTGGCATAAATTTACTTTAGCTATGTTTCAGCAGCGGCGAAGCATGTTACGTGGAATGAGGCAAAAGGCACTGCACAAAATAGGGTTAGGTGGCGCGCTCTAGTTGAGGACCTATGTTCCACTTAGGAACGAAGAGGATTAAGTAAGTAAGTATGTTTCAGCAAAGAGTCTGCAATTTTCATCCGAAATCTGTCTAAAGTGAGACAAAAAGTGTCCAAAAATTAAACATCTGAAATAACACCTTCAAAATTTTAACATCCATAATTTTTTGCAAGTAATGTACTAGCTCTCATTTCCTATAAGAGATAGTCAATTGGGCTTTGCCTCCTTCACTATCAGCTTGTAGAAAACTTGTCTTGTAATTTCTTGTTTATTATTCTCCATGGGAAATTTATCGGTTCTAATGGCGTCATGATCGTAGAGAACCTTGACAAAATCCAGCTGGTGGATAACGTGATGGTCTTGGCATCCATTCATGGCAAGTAGCAATAACACTCATTGTTTCAGTAATTTTACTGCTACAGAAACTGGCATAAGCTCTGGAAATGTGTGTCTGTTAGCCCTAGAGCAACATTAGCTAATATTGTCAAATTCTACATAACTGTCAGTCAAACTTCCTGTAATAATGGTACATACATTTCCCATTAAAGTGCATGCTGGCCACTATGGTTGCTCAGTTGGAATCCTGGACCTGGAGTTATGTGAGCATTGAGTTTGTGGATTCTTGTCGGCCTTGCTCTCAAGGGTGTTTCTTTTCTCCAGTTTTCCTCCCTCCTCATAAACCAACACTCCAAATTCCAATTCAAACTGGTGTGTGTCCCCAATAAGTAAACCTTGCAGGCATACCTAGTACTTTCAATAAGGTTTGAAGACTGTAGGGGGCTTTCCTGGTGTGGCACCCATCAGGGGTCAGATCAACAGACGTGTAGCTGGCCAGTTTGTGAAAACTGTTAACATCACAGATGGTGATGCACAACATAATACCCAGCAGGGTTTTGGTGGGTTTGTACCAATGATAAGAAGCTTGGTACATAACAAACTTATTTTTTGAAATATACTGCTTTCCTTAATAGAGCACACAGAGTTATTTCTTGGCCTACATCCACAGATATAGTCACTGGAAGATCTCATTTAATTTCTTCATTTCAGCCATAATACTCCCTAAGAATCCAGTCTCAATACATACACCTAGGGTGCATTTCTTTAAGAAAATCCAAGATTGGATTGTTAAATCTGAAAATGGATTTTGCGTTTCCTTTCTAAACAGATTAATCCAAGATCTCTCAGAACATGGTGTGTCAAGGGAACCAAAGAATCCACTCTGGGCAAGGATTCTTCGGCTCCTTTGATGCACCATCATCCGAGTGATCTTGGACTAATCTGCTTAGAAAAGAAATGCAAAATCCGTTTTCGGATTTAAGAATCCAATCTTGAAACGCACCCTTGGTTCTTAATTCAGATTTGATTCCCATAGAATCAATTACACTGAAAACATGGAGAAAACCACTATGCAAGATATTTGTTCTGTTCACTTATGGCAGTACTGATATCTGACCACAAAATACCAGGAAATAAACAAAGCTGCATAGTTTCTAAAGGAACTTGTGCTCTGACTTATCAGGCAGCTGAAACATTTTACCAATAAACAGCTTATTGTAAGAGTAAATATAATAGTTTGGGAAACTTAAATAATATATATCAGTGCTTTAATACAAAAACAAAGTTCTGAAAGACAACTTACAGAATTTTTGAGAGAACTACCAATCACCAATTGGCACTGCTCAAATTATTAAATTCAATAAATTGTTACATTCATCCTCTGATATTTGTCACTAAACAGTGTAGTCACTGGTAGACTGAACACTGACTATCTTCAGGAGTTGTGTGCAAATGTAGAATGTGAAGTTCCAGAAAATATCCATGTAATGTACCTCCCCCACAGAAGGGATTTTTTTCCAAGACCCCCCACCCCCTCCACCCCTCTAATTAAGCTTCATGCATTTCATTAAACTCTTTGGTATTAGNCCCCCCCTACCTGCCACAAAATTCAAATCCCTTCTGTGGGTGGAGTGTGGATATTTTCTGGAACTACACAATGTGACATGTGGGCCTTGACAACACAGTTCCAAACTACTCCTCAGCCCTGATCTCTGCAGCCCTTATTTGAATTTTCATGCATTGTTCTTCAAAGCAATGTGTCATAATTCAGATACAGACATAACAGGTGGAGGACCATCCAATAATTTATGCAATGTTTCCTAGTGTCCAACAATTCATACTTAACTACATGTATCTATATGTGGATAATATAGACAATGTAGTTCAATTCTGCTAAATTCTAAGTTTCAAGGTCTATGTTGTTGCTCTCTGTCTGTAAGAGGTACATAACGCACACCCATCAACTTTTGCCGCACTATGTTTCCTTCTTTATCCTTGTCAATCTGTTCAAGCCATTGGTCGCCATGAGTGGGGCCTACTGGTATGAAGAGCCTGCCGCCAGGTTTTAGCTGATGTATAAGAGCGTCTGGGATAGGATGTGCTGCAGCACCTACATGTATTGCATCATATGGAGCATCTGAAAGAGACCAGAAGGCTGCTTAAGGTTTCAGTGTTATGAGATAAGATACTAACAGCTACTGTAATCTTGAAAAGCAAGCCTCCCTCAGCTTAATTACTAGCCAGACTATCTAGCAAACAGAGCAGCAATCATATATTATGCCAAATACTTAGCAAGAATGTAGATGAAGCTTTTCAGCAGTGTAGTATTTCCTCACTGTAAATTTTGCCTGCAGTGCATAATAATTCATTTTCCTGATTACATCACAGGCATGATCAATATCTGAAAAGTTTGACTTTAAACCCAAGTCAATTTTTAATGTTAATATGCAATTTGCTGAAGATGGTTAAATAAATATTTTTAGTAAATGCTTTACAGCCAAACTGTTTCCATCTTTAGCCTGTTTTACCACTTCGTGTTCTGCATGGGTTTTAGTTTACAACAATAGATCAATAATTACCATCAGCATATCCTTGCCTTCCATCCCCTGTTACAAGAAGGACCCTTCCACTTTCTAGAAGATCAGCATTTCCTCGCTTTATGTTTTGCTTTGATTTCTCCACAAGTTCTGGTATATGATCAATGCCAATTACTTTACCACTATTTCCTACCATTTCTGCCATGCAGGCAGTGAGGTAACCACTACCTGAAAAAAAAGTTCACTGTTATGAAGTTGTTCAATGAATATGTGACAACTATTACATTTTCATGGTTCTCGAGAGACATCGGCTTTTTTCAATCCTGCATCCCACTGCAATTTTTGACTCAATCTTGCCATCCAGCCCAACTCAGAATGCTTATCCCCAATCCACCTGGTTAGAGTTGCGGTTCCCGGCATAACATCTGTAACATGTGACTTTATGGTTTCTTCCCGCATCCTACATGTACCTGCCAAAATGGTTTAATCCAATTCCAACAAAAGTATTGTTATCCTGCATATCACCATTAAAATTTCTACCATAATTTCCCGCATCCCGCCTCCATTTGTATACTCATCCTGAATCCTGCCAAACAAGTGTTGGACTCTCCCTCATTGCTTAAGAGAATTTTGGTTAGAACTTTGGAGAGAGTATATTGATTTTATATTAAATATAACACTTCCAGATCTCCACTCTTGTTCTAATGTATTTACCATAGAGTTACATTTCCAAGTCACGTTAGAGCTTAAGTCTTGGTGCCATAGAAAAGACATGAACACAGAGAGAATCCAGAAATGTCAGGAATATGAGTAAACGGTGACTTTTGTTAGCTGCTTGTAGAATACCCGGCAACAACCCAAGACGGAGGAAAAGCAAACTGGTCAGAACTGTTTGAGCTAGAATCCGTAACAATACAAACTAATGTGTTTCAATGATAAGATGCTGATAAGTTGCCGGGTATTGTAAAATTTAGCCAACTCTTAAATGTAAATGAAATATGTTGGAACTTAGATGTCGATTTTCGTGAGTTGTGAAGGGTATTACGTCATCGGGGAAGGGTATTCTGATACAGAGGTAGACTAGTTCGAACCCAACACCATGAAAAGGGGGATTCCTCTGGTCTTACAGTACGGGACTGTTGAAGGTTTGGCTGATAATACTTACATTCAGCACAGGTGCGATAGTTAAAATTACCTGAACCAACGTCCAAGGCCTTGGCACCTTCATACAAGTGATCTTTCAGCATCTCCAAAGCGTGGGCGTGCATATGAGGAGCGCTTATTGTCACGCCATAACCGATCGCTTGGGGTGAATCCATGTACGGTGAAAAACTACAATAATTTCCACGATCGACTTTTTTCATTGCCTCCTCAACTCGCGGTGACTTGATGATTTTATTGCGCTTGAGTTGCGAGATCAAGTCGTTGTTGTCTTTCCCATGCGAGCGCCACTCCATGCCAGAAGAACGGACCGTTGCTTGCTCGAGTTGCGGATTTGGTTGGGCCTCTTGTTCTGGGCAGCTTCTCCCCTCGCAGAAGCCGGTTTCTGTGTGTTGTTTTGTTTCGCAAGCCAAACCATAGAAGAGTATATTAATAAACAAAAGAGGCCTCAGTCGGCTCATCCCGGTTTCACATGACGGAACATCCACGGACGGACTGGCACTGGAGGGAGTATTTCCCAGGAAGCAGTATGGGTTCGAAAATTCAAGATGGCGATGAAGTTGACCACCGAAACAATCAAGTTACGATTCCCTAATGTACCAAATATTTCCACCGAAGAGCTTTTTGAGCTGATGAAAGCAGAAAGTTCAAAGCGGAAGTTGGTTTTGTTGGTAAGCTGTATGACAAACTCTGCACCTGTGTGGCAACATTTTCATACCTACCAACCCCCAGAGTACAAAAACCTGGAGACGGCTAGAAATCTTTGTATTGTAAGAATACAGTTTCCGACAATGTCTGAATACTCTCCGACAATCACCTGAAGGCCTTCCGAACGTTCCCGACGTCTTGAAAATAACGAAATTAATGAAAAAAAATTTAACAAGAGCCACAGTAGGTAGTTCCCGGGAGATTTGGTGCTCTAACCGGGAGACCGGGAGATTTGATGAAAAACTTGGAGACTCCCGGGAAAACCGGGAGAGTTGGCAGGGCTGCATTTTTTATCAATTTACAGTCATCACCGATCAGGCTGCAGGTCATGATCAAGTCACAGGCCAGGTCACGGAACTGTGCGGTGACTACTCAGTACTGGCTGGTTTTGCGTACGCAAATGACGCATATTTTACTAAGTCTGTTTTTGAGTGACCTGTACGTATGACCTGTGGAATGTGGCCTGCAAAAAGTCTGAAACTTGAATGTTTCCCAGGACAACCCCCCGATGATCAAATTCCGATCCCCCAGGGCAAAGATGATGTTTAAATACCTATCTTAGGGTTATCCGGAGACCCAAGGTCAGTCAGTGAGTGCAACTGTTGAGGGCTTCATGAGGTATAATTCCTCTCAAATATGCACTCGACACTCAAGAAACGTTTTGGTTACAATAATTATTTGTAAACAAAACTTTTTTCAAGCAAAATGTGGGCAAATAACTAAGAAAGATATAGCAGTTGAAAGGACCTTTGTGAAGGCTTCATATTGGAACATACACAAAAAAAAACTGGAGACCTGATGGATGTGTACCAATTGGGTAGAATAATGCAAATGATTTTTTCTGTCCTCTCAGGAGGCAGCTTTGTAGAGCCATTTGGAACTGACCTAGTAAGACTCTATCCCCAGGGGCTCCTTGCCTTCTCTCCAATTTCTTTGCCAATGTTTTTTCCTGCTAGTTAAGTTTCTGTCTCCCTCATTGACTGGCCCTCACTGGGTCTCCACGGATAATTGCTTGTTTTCAGCTGAAGGATTTTAAGCATGGAGAGGTAATTGAAAGTTATAGAAAAGTTATTGCAATAACCTGTTAAGAGACAACTTTTTGCAAAGTTTAAAAAAGTCTATAGTTCAGATTCAAAGCCATCTCGAATTTTTGAAAACTGGTACAGACTGGTTTATGGGCTCTGCTATGAACTCTTCACAACACCCACACCCAACATGGTAATTCAATCCCTGTCAATATGTAATCAGTAATTGTGATAATCTTATCTCGTCTTTAAGGATGTCCGTGAGGAGATAGAATTTCAAGTCAGTCGTATTTGCAATGCATGTAATGTTAGCCCTTCATTAAAAGACATGGAACACATAATGAAAATGATCATGGAGACAGGTATCAGTTTTGTTAAATTTTCGTTTTTATTAATTAGCTCATTCCTTCTGCCTCATTGTAGCCCCCCTTAGTAAACCGCTTTAAATTACAATGTTTTGAGAGGAAGCCTCGTCAGTCAGCCTTACCTGGTTTTCATGTGGGTCCTCTGATCTGTCCTGGTGGAATTGGAATTTGGAGATGTTGGTTTTTTTGGAGGGAGAAAAACTGGAGAAAAACCCTTTCAGCAAGGTGAGAACCACCAACAAACTCAACCCACATATGGCACTGGTTCGGAATTGAACCCGAGCGACTTTGGTGGGAGGTCAGCATTTTTACCACTGTGTCATCCCTTCTCCCTGCTTTTTCTCCAGCCCATCCCTTTTCCATGTGCAAGGTTTTCTTTTTAAAACTACAACCATTCTCAATGGTGTGCTCTAGAAGCAGCTAGGTGCCACAGGCAACTAACGTTTGCCTTTGGGTGACTGGAAACTTTTTCATATAAATTGGAAATAAGTGTTGGACACCCAGGATTTCATGGCTAGGAACCTTTGGGCTCCTCATGATTTTTCTTAGACCCCAGCCCTCACTTTCTACTTCTATCTAAATGCTGGAAATGGGAATTTAAACTCTGCCTTTTATGAAGCATTGCAGGTGTAGCTTCACCCTAAAGGTTAGTCTGGTTGGCCAGTTTGCTTGAATCAGCCAATTAACACCAACCCAGGATTAAAGGTCAATTGTCTGAGAATTCATTTGTGTTTATTCTCTACATACACTGTACATAGTATTAAACTTCACGTGTCAGCGAAATTGCACTGACTGAATTGCTGTTTCAAAGTTGTAGTTTACGCACGCTAATCAATTTTTTCGACAATTTCAAGAGCCGAGTTATGGTGAATGTCCATCTTTTAGTCTTAGCAGGAATTTAAAAATATCCAGCAATGTTTCAAACTGTTTCTCCAAAACTACAGAAAAATGAGAAAACATCACCTCCAGCCATTTCACACTTGTTTAATGGCTGATAATGTATGATAGCTCAGTACGATTGCACAGCATTTGCCTTACCATACAAGTAGAATTTTACTAAATCCTCTTAATACTTTGATGTTTACAATCAGTAGGCATTCATCATTTGACTTAAATATGTCTGATCTATCTTTTTTAGTCACCGAATTTTCTGTGGCATCTCTCCATCTTCATCAGAGTGAAAAAATGGGCATTTGTTATAACATAGCTCATGTTTTTCGTGCTTGAACACGCATGCAGAATTTAAACTGGAAACAAAGGAGTATATGAGCATGCGGAAAGACTTTTCTTTCATTCACCACATTTGCGTCCATTGTTGAGTGCAATGACTCTAAAAAGAGTCTCTTGGTATAGCTTGTAATTCCTCATTTGAGGATTGTGGAATTCTAATTCTCTTTACTTGCTTTAGGTGAAGCATGTGAAGGTGTCATGAAGGTTGTATGCTATTGCTCCGTGGGTTACCGATCAAGTTATCTTGCTCAGCGTTTACTATGTGAACTGGACAAACCTGTTTATCAAGAAATGAAATCCAAGGTTATGGTATACAATTTGGAAGGTTCAATCTTTAAATGGGCAAATGAAGGAAAAGAGCTTGAAGATAACAAAGGACTAAAGACTCTTGTAGTACATCCTTATAATGTTGTATGGGGAAAGCTACTGAATGCCGAGCTGAGATGCTCAGAACCAAGGGAATCAAGTGAGAATGAAAGGGAAAGGCAGCCGAAACTCTGATGGCATCAAATGATATGTAAGTTGACAAAGTTTATTATCATTTATAGCTGTTCAGGTTGCAAAGTCCGGCCTCAAGAGTCCTCATGGGCCCGATGAGGATAAGTGTGAGTGAGGTTGCAAAGTACTATTTACTTAATGCTCTTCACCCCCTGTGGGAGAAAAGGTAACAACAATCTCTCTTCATTTATCCCTATTTGGAATGCCATCTGGTCATTCTTCACAGAGTACTCAGTCACAAGATTGTGGAATGCAAAATTTCATAGCTTTTGGCAGAAGGCCTCAGGTTACTGGTTGTTATGTGGCTGAAGTTTTGGGTTCAATCAGTGTGACAGAAAATCACCTTTCAAACTGATTTTTTTCTCAGACATTACAAGAGAAGGTTGTAGCACATTTAGCTTGTGACCAAACCCATTTCAAGCTTAGACATTTGTAGATTTTATCCCTGCTCTTGTGCCTAGTCAGTCTGGCATATTTCATTTAATGACTATAGCTTTCCTGCGCCAGCCACTGACAATGCAGTCTAGACATGAAGCGCCCACCCATGTGGCAGCAAGATAGATTAAACTGGTACGTAGAATCTCATCTCAAGTTTTAGGAGCTGTTTTTATCTACTTTCAATATTTACTTACTTTTATTTCGTGAAAAGAACTCAGTCAGACCAACTTTATATATATAAAGGTTTTTGCTTCCCGAAAGTAACCAGGCCCAAAGGTTGTCAACTCTGAAACTAACGAGGGTTGTTACTCTCAAACTTTTACAGTAGTTAGATTTTTTGCAGAGAAAAGTTTTGGAAATTAATTCCCCTCATTTTATGGAACGATTTATACTGTCATGATCATTTGGAACATTTTTTGATTTTTTTTTTCCGTTTCTTACCAGTGACTTACAGAGCCATGCATAAAGATGAAAAAGAATTCCAACAACAAATTGGCTTCAGAATGTTCTTAACTGAGTTTCAGCGCTGTTCAGATGTTTATAGTCCCGGCTTATAAGTGAAATCCTCCCACAAGCCACTGCTTTCTTCCTGTCCTGTTGCCTGGGTCGTCGAGCCATGTGGCGCGCAAACAAGACAAGCAAAATCGCCGCAGATTCAAAACCCTGGACTTGAACATGGAAATCATATAATGTGATTATAGTCTGCGTATGAGCGGAAAGGCTAGACTCCTGGTAGCCAATCTTTTCTCTCAGGGATAGACGCGGGTGTTTATCCATGAACACGAACGCAAAAGGGTGGTATGGACGATTAGGGGTTGAGGCCATGTCTCGTCCCAATCCCTTCGCGTCTGAAATGTCTCCCCCAACCTCATTCCCAGGGCATTTCCCTTTGAAATTGAGAAAAGCCCTGGGAACGAGGTTGATAATGCCCGCCTCATTTCGAGAAAGAAACAGACTGTCAGCAGTCTACGAAAAGGCCCGAACAGCCACCGTTAAACTTTTATCGCGAGGGAAGACCATCAAAAAGTCAAAGCCCAGAGGACTGATGACAGAATATTGTCACTGACTTGAAATCTAAATATAATGTGCTAGTTTTGTTAAAAATTACTGTTTAAGTGTACTGAAGCTATCAAAGGCTAGGTAGGCATGTACAAAGTTGTGATGTTAAACTGACAAAGTCTGACAGACGTACGTTTCCAAATTTTGTCGTCGTGCCTTAGAAAAATTGCTCAAAACCAATGAGAATTTGCCCTCAAACAATTATATGAATTTCATAGATTCTTTTTCAATTTACTCTCCTCTAGTCAACTTACTTGTATTGTCTTCTTGGTGTCCTAGGATTTATTATGTTTGATGCACAAGCGAAGGTACTCAGAAAAACAGTTACTTTGTTCTAGGATTTACAGTAAGCTGGCTAAAAGGCTGTCCAAGCTCATTCTAGCTCTCATCTAAATCTGGGGGTCTAACTTTAAGAGTCTGAACGTCTGGCGCTCGCACTTTAAACACTTTGAATTCTCGGTCTCACTATCTAAAAGGTCATAATGTCTCGGGCTTGAAGAGTCGCAGAGAAAAACGCTTGTCTCGCTAAGTCTCGCATTTACCATTCGCCACCCCTACATATAGCGTGGGGAATGTCACGTATTTTTTAAATGCGGAATCCTTTTTTGGTTCAAAAAGCAGTTTTACTTAATTTTCTTTTCAACAAAAAAGTTAATAATTAAAGTTCCGGTTTGCTACAGCTTGTTGTTCCAGCTTTGGTTAAATATCGACACTTTAAAATAAATGAAGACAACAAAAGAATCCTTTTTTTTTTTTCGATTTTAGCAGTTCTTTTGACAGCCAAAAAAATAAAGAATTTCATAAGGCAGTAAGCTGTGATACAATAACTGCCCCGTTCCTAAAAGTTCCTCCGTGACTGGAGTGAGGTGCCCATCAGAGTGGGTGCCCATGGCGTTGTGAGCCTATATATAGCACCCGAAAATCAGAACGCAACCTAACCATTAACCCGTAGAGCAAACGCTTCTGTAGTAAAGTGCTAACGAGTTAAGTCTGCTCGCGCGAAACGAAATTTAAAGCAGTTTTACTAGGGGCGAGAGAAAAAAAAAGACGGATACGGAGGTAGCTTTGTCGATAATTTTTGCTCTTGACCCAATTTTCACGTGGCCGGAATGCTGAGTGTTCGTACAAGAACGCTGGCTACTAACTAATGTTTCCTACGCAAGCTACGTAAACATCAAGCGCTGCGCTCCTAGTTTCAAGCTCTTCGTCGACAAAGCTCAACAGCGCATAGAAACAAATTTGAATTTTGAATTTCAAATGACTTACATCAAGAATTGAATCAGAATTGAATCAGAATTGAATCAGAATTGAATTGAATCAGGCAAAGGCGTTTGCATTCAGAAGTAAGCTCAATGATTCATTTTGGAATATCAAACGTCACACACAATGCAAACCAGCAATAAGCGTAGAAAGCTATTTAAAGGGTGTTACGAATATTTATCATGCAAATTTGCGTATAAAAATAAATGTCGCGCGAGGGCAAAGTCACAAGCCGCGAATTAAAATATTGCTTGTCTTCAGTGGAGCTTTTCATCACGCAATTACAGAACCACCAGCAGCAGATTAACAATTATGGCGGCCTTGCGGTTGGTAATCGAAGTAATAAAAAGACAATTTCCCAAAGTTCCAGTTATGACAACCAATGAACTGCATCAGTTGATGAGAACTACAACACAGGCACGACGAAAGCTTGTCTTGTTGGTGAGTACAGATCAAAACTTTAATGTACGAGTTGTGTGTAAACTTTACATCAATACATGTACAGCCTCCAACAGACTGGGAGTTAGCCGGAGATGGTTCTAGTCATATTTCCTGAAATAACTATCACGAAGGTGTAGTCAGGTGGATAAGATACGTTCAGTTGTGTACTGAGTGATTCTGAAGCTAAGCAGGGAAAGTAAATTTGATGACAGAAGCTCAGTGAACCTTCTATCGCGCAGTTTTTCTTTCTTGGTTATAATCTTGCTTGATAGACGTTCAAAGGGGAAGGAGAGGAGAAAACTAGCCGGCTGCAGTTCTAGGTTTCCTTCAGGTGTCGTATATTTTTTTCTTTCTTAACTAAACTCGCTTGAAGAAGAGAAAGACATTCTGGTTCGTGGTGAAATAAAATTTCAAACATGGGAATCTTGATCGATCTAATTTTGTACGGGGACAGCGAGGTCGACACCTCTTTACCCGTTTCAAAGGCGTAATGGTATTTGAATATCAGTCATGCATGCCGAGAAATATTCTTGTTTTGCAAAAACAAAATTTCGTACTTGTTCGCTTGAAGTGGCAAGCCTCAATAACTTGCAAAGGAAATATATTCACACTAAATGCGAAAAATTTTAAAGGGCTCATACTTTGAATGGTCACCTTTGAAACAACGTGAAGACGAAAAAAAGAGACTGTCGAGCGAATAAGAACCAAAACGACCCTTTGTCTCCTGATTAATTGTGTATGGTCCAAAACAAGAAAGACTTCCAGCTGTACAACGTGATAAATACATACATACTTTACTTGTTAAAAAACTGTTGGAGAGATCTGTCTCCATGATTAAAATTTTAAAAGGGAGTTAAAAAAACACATGAAAAACGTTAAACCTTCTGCGGTCTTCTACATTTCTCTAAAGAACACTGCAGAAGGTGGTTGAAAATTCAGCTTTAACGTTTTTTAGATCTGTTTTTCCTATACCATTTTTACAGAAAAGGTACTTTATATCTTTAATTGAAAAACGGTGCCCCTTTCACATACTTTCATAACGGGCCCGTATTATGAATAAATCGCCAAAACAGGAAGTCTTCTTGTCATTTGCATGTAGTCCTTAATAAATGAATGGTACAGCCATACGCTGCGTCTGTTCGAAATATTTTAATTAAAGGCCCTTTAAAATAACTAGATGACAGATTTCCCTACCCTTTCATATACCTCAACTTATGAAATCCCTACCCTTATATATACCTGAAGCCTGGAAAAGGCCACCCTTTCGGTCCCCTTATAGGCCATTATAGGGACTACCCCCCCCCCCCCAACCCCTGGGCTTATCTCAACGAGGTGGTGAGTTGGTTTGTCGATCCGTGCGGGTTTTACAGATCGATGGCCGTTTTCGGTCCGTATGCGATCTGAAATTGCTTCTCATTAGAAAACATCAACCGGGGGTTCACTGTCACAACAACAACAAACGCAAATATACATGTTCGGATCTTCAACTCTGTTCGATTCGCCCCTTCACTCAGGTTGAAAAGTGGCGTGATTTATATTCTAAAGCCCCGTCCATAGTTCTTTTTTTACGGTTAGGCCTACCGTCCACCCACAGTCGTGGACAAAAGTCCCTGAGACACTTATGTAATTTAACGAATTGTATGTGTTTTACTACTGAAGTTTGAAAAAAGCGGTGTTTTCCTTCTAAAAACGTGTTACTTTTCCCCCTCCCCACCCAATACAATGTTGAAAATCACAGAAGAAATTGCAGGTAGTAGTTTTCAACATTTTATGGGGGGTGGGGGCGAGGTTAGGCAGGTGAAGTTGTATTCGCGTCTGGCGTGTGCGCAAAAGCCCCCAAAGTGCAAATTTGTCCCAAGATGTTTGTCCATAGTTGTAGCTTAATACGGAGAAATTGTCCACTGAAAACGGAGCTTTGCGAAAACGCTTTTCAAACCGAAGGAAATTGAAAAAAAAAATGGTGGCTTTTCGTTTTAGTAAGTGTAACGAGTCGAAACTGTAGTCTTGTGACTGACTCTTTATTCTTCGAACCTTCTTTCTACATTGCTTGATTCCTTCTGCTTAACTGTCCCCTATATCTGATAACATGTAATTTACCATTAATTATTAAGTCCTTATACGGAATAATGTCAATCATTGCAATCACTACAGTTAGGACATAAAACATTTCAGTGAAAAGGAAGTTTTCCGAAAACGTTGACGTCACGATAATCATGTGATTTGTCTGACCCAGTCTTCCTCAAACAAATATCGAAAATGACGCTTCTGCTGCCATAAATTCCAAATGTCTCCAGCGTAGTGTGGACCGGGCGTAAGTCTCTTTACGGAGATGACTGACATTATCAGAGCATATATGGACTAATTTACCGATGGTATACGGATCGAAAACATTCTTTTACGATTTGTCAAACGGTATGGATCGCAAAGTTGTTGTTGTTGTTGTTTTTTTTTTCAACCGCATCAATTTGTGAATGGACGACCCTCACTGTAGGAGGAAGTTGTTTTATGGCAATAGCCAAGCTTTCGTTGTTAGATCGCTTCAAATCTCTTTGCTTTAATCAGGTTATGTCAACGGCTACCTTTAGGGTGGCGTTCGACTGCGAAGGCTTTCATTGAGCGCATTAACCGTCCGTAATCCTAAACTGATAAAAGAATCACTGAACCCATGTATTTATTTATACATTTATTAAAAATCTGAGTAAAACATAAATACGTGTATTTTTACGATGAAAACGAGCTGTTAGCCGAATCGAACACGTAAAGCAATCCGCTTTTTAACTCGAAGATTGCCCAGCTCCAACTGGAACACATCTAGAAATATTATATTTTCACAATTTCTTGTTGAAAATCGACGGCTTTTCATGAATCATTCCTTCTCCAAATTTCTTTGAAAAAACTCCTGCCTTCCTTCGCTCGGCTTGTGCTGTGTCATTCGCCTCGACGACTCCAAATCGACGTCGCTTCTCAACCCTTTTTTCGTCTTCTGTATTGGGGACATTATCCATTGGACGGCTCGAGTATTGTTCCTTTTCTCTAGCACTTCCCTCTCTGTTGCTTGTGATCTCTGCATTTTTAAGACTTAGGTGAATCTGATTTTTTTCAAGACCTTGAACATGCTCCGTCTTCAAAGGGTCTGCTTTTGACATATTGCCACCTAAAACACTCATTTTCTCCTGGCTTTTTTCTCCCGTTTTCAAACCTTCACTTCGAGTTGACTCAGCCATTTCGCTCGAAATAAGAGTAAATTTACCTTGAATTTGTCACAAATAAATTATGTATCGCTGAAAATGCGGTCCGTTGCGTAAGTACGGCGGGATGATTTTCAATGTGTAGCTTGTTGTTGTAATTACAACAGGAAAAACGTAATGATCACTCTGTTCGGCTAAGCCACGAAAGCAAAAGATCATGCGAGCAATCAGTTTCGGAACAACAAACAACCTCGTTCCCAGGGTTTTTCCTTGGGTGCAAACTCGGTCGACTTCCATGATCCTCCAAGAAAGTAGAGCGAAGGTTCACAGGCTATGCATCATGCAATATCATTTGTTCTTTAATAATTAGACGCCACTAGATGGATTTGTGTTTGCTAGAGCGAGATTCAACTCCTCCACGCTTTGTAAATAGCCAAATGGTCAGCCTCCCACCAGTTGCGATTTTTGACAAGTTTCTGTTCAATATACAATATTTGTTTGCTTGTTTCAGTGTCCCCAATGAGTACAGTAGTGTTAAACACTTTGACACTCAAATAAAGTGATTTGTTTTTCACTAGCGACGGAGTCGGAGTTGGAATCAGAGTCGGAGTCGTAAGAGCTCTTATGACCTAGTGAAAATCAAAAATCGGAGTCGTAAGCGGAGTCATAAGCTCGACGGAATCGGAAATCAGTGGAAGAATCAGAAGGCTTCCATTTCTTCCGATTCCGTTTACGACTCCGTTCTAACCGGGAGACCGGGAGATTTGATGAAAAACTTGGAGACTCCCGGGAAAACCGGGAGAGTTGGCAGGGCTGCATTTTTTATCAATTTACAGTCATCACCGATCAGGCTGCAGGTCATGATCAAGTCACAGGCCAGGTCACGGAACTGTGCGGTGACTACTCAGTACTGGCTGGTTTTGCGTACGCAAATGACGCATATTTTACTAAGTCTGTTTTTGAGTGACCTGTACGTATGACCTGTGGAATGTGGCCTGCAAAAAGTCTGAAACTTGAATGTTTCCCAGGACAACCCCCCGATGATCAAATTCCGATCCCCCAGGGCAAAGATGATGTTTAAATACCTATCTTAGGGTTATCCGGAGACCCAAGGTCAGTCAGTGAGTGCAACTGTTGAGGGCTTCATGAGGTATAATTCCTCTCAAATATGCACTCGACACTCAAGAAACGTTTTGGTTACAATAATTATTTGTAAACAAAACTTTTTTCAAGCAAAATGTGGGCAAATAACTAAGAAAGATATAGCAGTTGAAAGGACCTTTGTGAAGGCTTCATATTGGAACATACACAAAAAAAAACTGGAGACCTGATGGATGTGTACCAATTGGGTAGAATAATGCAAATGATTTTTTCTGTCCTCTCAGGAGGCAGCTTTGTAGAGCCATTTGGAACTGACCTAGTAAGACTCTATCCCCAGGGGCTCCTTGCCTTCTCTCCAATTTCTTTGCCAATGTTTTTTCCTGCTAGTTAAGTTTCTGTCTCCCTCATTGACTGGCCCTCACTGGGTCTCCACGGATAATTGCTTGTTTTCAGCTGAAGGATTTTAAGCATGGAGAGGTAATTGAAAGTTATAGAAAAGTTATTGCAATAACCTGTTAAGAGACAACTTTTTGCAAAGTTTAAAAAAGTCTATAGTTCAGATTCAAAGCCATCTCGAATTTTTGAAAACTGGTACAGACTGGTTTATGGGCTCTGCTATGAACTCTTCACAACACCCACACCCAACATGGTAATTCAATCCCTGTCAATATGTAATCAGTAATTGTGATAATCTTATCTCGTCTTTAAGGATGTCCGTGAGGAGATAGAATTTCAAGTCAGTCGTATTTGCAATGCATGTAATGTTAGCCCTTCATTAAAAGACATGGAACACATAATGAAAATGATCATGGAGACAGGTATCAGTTTTGTTAAATTTTCGTTTTTATTAATTAGCTCATTCCTTCTGCCTCATTGTAGCCCCCCTTAGTAAACCGCTTTAAATTACAATGTTTTGAGAGGAAGCCTCGTCAGTCAGCCTTACCTGGTTTTCATGTGGGTCCTCTGATCTGTCCTGGTGGAATTGGAATTTGGAGATGTTGGTTTTTTTGGAGGGAGAAAAACTGGAGAAAAACCCTTTCAGCAAGGTGAGAACCACCAACAAACTCAACCCACATATGGCACTGGTTCGGAATTGAACCCGAGCGACTTTGGTGGGAGGTCAGCATTTTTACCACTGTGTCATCCCTTCTCCCTGCTTTTTCTCCAGCCCATCCCTTTTCCATGTGCAAGGTTTTCTTTTTAAAACTACAACCATTCTCAATGGTGTGCTCTAGAAGCAGCTAGGTGCCACAGGCAACTAACGTTTGCCTTTGGGTGACTGGAAACTTTTTCATATAAATTGGAAATAAGTGTTGGACACCCAGGATTTCATGGCTAGGAACCTTTGGGCTCCTCATGATTTTTCTTAGACCCCAGCCCTCACTTTCTACTTCTATCTAAATGCTGGAAATGGGAATTTAAACTCTGCCTTTTATGAAGCATTGCAGGTGTAGCTTCACCCTAAAGGTTAGTCTGGTTGGCCAGTTTGCTTGAATCAGCCAATTAACACCAACCCAGGATTAAAGGTCAATTGTCTGAGAATTCATTTGTGTTTATTCTCTACATACACTGTACATAGTATTAAACTTCACGTGTCAGCGAAATTGCACTGACTGAATTGCTGTTTCAAAGTTGTAGTTTACGCACGCTAATCAATTTTTTCGACAATTTCAAGAGCCGAGTTATGGTGAATGTCCATCTTTTAGTCTTAGCAGGAATTTAAAAATATCCAGCAATGTTTCAAACTGTTTCTCCAAAACTACAGAAAAATGAGAAAACATCACCTCCAGCCATTTCACACTTGTTTAATGGCTGATAATGTATGATAGCTCAGTACGATTGCACAGCATTTGCCTTACCATACAAGTAGAATTTTACTAAATCCTCTTAATACTTTGATGTTTACAATCAGTAGGCATTCATCATTTGACTTAAATATGTCTGATCTATCTTTTTTAGTCACCGAATTTTCTGTGGCATCTCTCCATCTTCATCAGAGTGAAAAAATGGGCATTTGTTATAACATAGCTCATGTTTTTCGTGCTTGAACACGCATGCAGAATTTAAACTGGAAACAAAGGAGTATATGAGCATGCGGAAAGACTTTTCTTTCATTCACCACATTTGCGTCCATTGTTGAGTGCAATGACTCTAAAAAGAGTCTCTTGGTATAGCTTGTAATTCCTCATTTGAGGATTGTGGAATTCTAATTCTCTTTACTTGCTTTAGGTGAAGCATGTGAAGGTGTCATGAAGGTTGTATGCTATTGCTCCGTGGGTTACCGATCAAGTTATCTTGCTCAGCGTTTACTATGTGAACTGGACAAACCTGTTTATCAAGAAATGAAATCCAAGGTTATGGTATACAATTTGGAAGGTTCAATCTTTAAATGGGCAAATGAAGGAAAAGAGCTTGAAGATAACAAAGGACTAAAGACTCTTGTAGTACATCCTTATAATGTTGTATGGGGAAAGCTACTGAATGCCGAGCTGAGATGCTCAGAACCAAGGGAATCAAGTGAGAATGAAAGGGAAAGGCAGCCGAAACTCTGATGGCATCAAATGATATGTAAGTTGACAAAGTTTATTATCATTTATAGCTGTTCAGGTTGCAAAGTCCGGCCTCAAGAGTCCTCATGGGCCCGATGAGGATAAGTGTGAGTGAGGTTGCAAAGTACTATTTACTTAATGCTCTTCACCCCCTGTGGGAGAAAAGGTAACAACAATCTCTCTTCATTTATCCCTATTTGGAATGCCATCTGGTCATTCTTCACAGAGTACTCAGTCACAAGATTGTGGAATGCAAAATTTCATAGCTTTTGGCAGAAGGCCTCAGGTTACTGGTTGTTATGTGGCTGAAGTTTTGGGTTCAATCAGTGTGACAGAAAATCACCTTTCAAACTGATTTTTTTCTCAGACATTACAAGAGAAGGTTGTAGCACATTTAGCTTGTGACCAAACCCATTTCAAGCTTAGACATTTGTAGATTTTATCCCTGCTCTTGTGCCTAGTCAGTCTGGCATATTTCATTTAATGACTATAGCTTTCCTGCGCCAGCCACTGACAATGCAGTCTAGACATGAAGCGCCCACCCATGTGGCAGCAAGATAGATTAAACTGGTACGTAGAATCTCATCTCAAGTTTTAGGAGCTGTTTTTATCTACTTTCAATATTTACTTACTTTTATTTCGTGAAAAGAACTCAGTCAGACCAACTTTATATATATAAAGGTTTTTGCTTCCCGAAAGTAACCAGGCCCAAAGGTTGTCAACTCTGAAACTAACGAGGGTTGTTACTCTCAAACTTTTACAGTAGTTAGATTTTTTGCAGAGAAAAGTTTTGGAAATTAATTCCCCTCATTTTATGGAACGATTTATACTGTCATGATCATTTGGAACATTTTTTGATTTTTTTTTTCCGTTTCTTACCAGTGACTTACAGAGCCATGCATAAAGATGAAAAAGAATTCCAACAACAAATTGGCTTCAGAATGTTCTTAACTGAGTTTCAGCGCTGTTCAGATGTTTATAGTCCCGGCTTATAAGTGAAATCCTCCCACAAGCCACTGCTTTCTTCCTGTCCTGTTGCCTGGGTCGTCGAGCCATGTGGCGCGCAAACAAGACAAGCAAAATCGCCGCAGATTCAAAACCCTGGACTTGAACATGGAAATCATATAATGTGATTATAGTCTGCGTATGAGCGGAAAGGCTAGACTCCTGGTAGCCAATCTTTTCTCTCAGGGATAGACGCGGGTGTTTATCCATGAACACGAACGCAAAAGGGTGGTATGGACGATTAGGGGTTGAGGCCATGTCTCGTCCCAATCCCTTCGCGTCTGAAATGTCTCCCCCAACCTCATTCCCAGGGCATTTCCCTTTGAAATTGAGAAAAGCCCTGGGAACGAGGTTGATAATGCCCGCCTCATTTCGAGAAAGAAACAGACTGTCAGCAGTCTACGAAAAGGCCCGAACAGCCACCGTTAAACTTTTATCGCGAGGGAAGACCATCAAAAAGTCAAAGCCCAGAGGACTGATGACAGAATATTGTCACTGACTTGAAATCTAAATATAATGTGCTAGTTTTGTTAAAAATTACTGTTTAAGTGTACTGAAGCTATCAAAGGCTAGGTAGGCATGTACAAAGTTGTGATGTTAAACTGACAAAGTCTGACAGACGTACGTTTCCAAATTTTGTCGTCGTGCCTTAGAAAAATTGCTCAAAACCAATGAGAATTTGCCCTCAAACAATTATATGAATTTCATAGATTCTTTTTCAATTTACTCTCCTCTAGTCAACTTACTTGTATTGTCTTCTTGGTGTCCTAGGATTTATTATGTTTGATGCACAAGCGAAGGTACTCAGAAAAACAGTTACTTTGTTCTAGGATTTACAGTAAGCTGGCTAAAAGGCTGTCCAAGCTCATTCTAGCTCTCATCTAAATCTGGGGGTCTAACTTTAAGAGTCTGAACGTCTGGCGCTCGCACTTTAAACACTTTGAATTCTCGGTCTCACTATCTAAAAGGTCATAATGTCTCGGGCTTGAAGAGTCGCAGAGAAAAACGCTTGTCTCGCTAAGTCTCGCATTTACCATTCGCCACCCCTACATATAGCGTGGGGAATGTCACGTATTTTTTAAATGCGGAATCCTTTTTTGGTTCAAAAAGCAGTTTTACTTAATTTTCTTTTCAACAAAAAAGTTAATAATTAAAGTTCCGGTTTGCTACAGCTTGTTGTTCCAGCTTTGGTTAAATATCGACACTTTAAAATAAATGAAGACAACAAAAGAATCCTTTTTTTTTTTTCGATTTTAGCAGTTCTTTTGACAGCCAAAAAAATAAAGAATTTCATAAGGCAGTAAGCTGTGATACAATAACTGCCCCGTTCCTAAAAGTTCCTCCGTGACTGGAGTGAGGTGCCCATCAGAGTGGGTGCCCATGGCGTTGTGAGCCTATATATAGCACCCGAAAATCAGAACGCAACCTAACCATTAACCCGTAGAGCAAACGCTTCTGTAGTAAAGTGCTAACGAGTTAAGTCTGCTCGCGCGAAACGAAATTTAAAGCAGTTTTACTAGGGGCGAGAGAAAAAAAAAGACGGATACGGAGGTAGCTTTGTCGATAATTTTTGCTCTTGACCCAATTTTCACGTGGCCGGAATGCTGAGTGTTCGTACAAGAACGCTGGCTACTAACTAATGTTTCCTACGCAAGCTACGTAAACATCAAGCGCTGCGCTCCTAGTTTCAAGCTCTTCGTCGACAAAGCTCAACAGCGCATAGAAACAAATTTGAATTTTGAATTTCAAATGACTTACATCAAGAATTGAATCAGAATTGAATCAGAATTGAATCAGAATTGAATTGAATCAGGCAAAGGCGTTTGCATTCAGAAGTAAGCTCAATGATTCATTTTGGAATATCAAACGTCACACACAATGCAAACCAGCAATAAGCGTAGAAAGCTATTTAAAGGGTGTTACGAATATTTATCATGCAAATTTGCGTATAAAAATAAATGTCGCGCGAGGGCAAAGTCACAAGCCGCGAATTAAAATATTGCTTGTCTTCAGTGGAGCTTTTCATCACGCAATTACAGAACCACCAGCAGCAGATTAACAATTATGGCGGCCTTGCGGTTGGTAATCGAAGTAATAAAAAGACAATTTCCCAAAGTTCCAGTTATGACAACCAATGAACTGCATCAGTTGATGAGAACTACAACACAGGCACGACGAAAGCTTGTCTTGTTGGTGAGTACAGATCAAAACTTTAATGTACGAGTTGTGTGTAAACTTTACATCAATACATGTACAGCCTCCAACAGACTGGGAGTTAGCCGGAGATGGTTCTAGTCATATTTCCTGAAATAACTATCACGAAGGTGTAGTCAGGTGGATAAGATACGTTCAGTTGTGTACTGAGTGATTCTGAAGCTAAGCAGGGAAAGTAAATTTGATGACAGAAGCTCAGTGAACCTTCTATCGCGCAGTTTTTCTTTCTTGGTTATAATCTTGCTTGATAGACGTTCAAAGGGGAAGGAGAGGAGAAAACTAGCCGGCTGCAGTTCTAGGTTTCCTTCAGGTGTCGTATATTTTTTTCTTTCTTAACTAAACTCGCTTGAAGAAGAGAAAGACATTCTGGTTCGTGGTGAAATAAAATTTCAAACATGGGAATCTTGATCGATCTAATTTTGTACGGGGACAGCGAGGTCGACACCTCTTTACCCGTTTCAAAGGCGTAATGGTATTTGAATATCAGTCATGCATGCCGAGAAATATTCTTGTTTTGCAAAAACAAAATTTCGTACTTGTTCGCTTGAAGTGGCAAGCCTCAATAACTTGCAAAGGAAATATATTCACACTAAATGCGAAAAATTTTAAAGGGCTCATACTTTGAATGGTCACCTTTGAAACAACGTGAAGACGAAAAAAAGAGACTGTCGAGCGAATAAGAACCAAAACGACCCTTTGTCTCCTGATTAATTGTGTATGGTCCAAAACAAGAAAGACTTCCAGCTGTACAACGTGATAAATACATACATACTTTACTTGTTAAAAAACTGTTGGAGAGATCTGTCTCCATGATTAAAATTTTAAAAGGGAGTTAAAAAAACACATGAAAAACGTTAAACCTTCTGCGGTCTTCTACATTTCTCTAAAGAACACTGCAGAAGGTGGTTGAAAATTCAGCTTTAACGTTTTTTAGATCTGTTTTTCCTATACCATTTTTACAGAAAAGGTACTTTATATCTTTAATTGAAAAACGGTGCCCCTTTCACATACTTTCATAACGGGCCCGTATTATGAATAAATCGCCAAAACAGGAAGTCTTCTTGTCATTTGCATGTAGTCCTTAATAAATGAATGGTACAGCCATACGCTGCGTCTGTTCGAAATATTTTAATTAAAGGCCCTTTAAAATAACTAGATGACAGATTTCCCTACCCTTTCATATACCTCAACTTATGAAATCCCTACCCTTATATATACCTGAAGCCTGGAAAAGGCCACCCTTTCGGTCCCCTTATAGGCCATTATAGGGACTACCCCCCCCCCCCCAACCCCTGGGCTTATCTCAACGAGGTGGTGAGTTGGTTTGTCGATCCGTGCGGGTTTTACAGATCGATGGCCGTTTTCGGTCCGTATGCGATCTGAAATTGCTTCTCATTAGAAAACATCAACCGGGGGTTCACTGTCACAACAACAACAAACGCAAATATACATGTTCGGATCTTCAACTCTGTTCGATTCGCCCCTTCACTCAGGTTGAAAAGTGGCGTGATTTATATTCTAAAGCCCCGTCCATAGTTCTTTTTTTACGGTTAGGCCTACCGTCCACCCACAGTCGTGGACAAAAGTCCCTGAGACACTTATGTAATTTAACGAATTGTATGTGTTTTACTACTGAAGTTTGAAAAAAGCGGTGTTTTCCTTCTAAAAACGTGTTACTTTTCCCCCTCCCCACCCAATACAATGTTGAAAATCACAGAAGAAATTGCAGGTAGTAGTTTTCAACATTTTATGGGGGGTGGGGGCGAGGTTAGGCAGGTGAAGTTGTATTCGCGTCTGGCGTGTGCGCAAAAGCCCCCAAAGTGCAAATTTGTCCCAAGATGTTTGTCCATAGTTGTAGCTTAATACGGAGAAATTGTCCACTGAAAACGGAGCTTTGCGAAAACGCTTTTCAAACCGAAGGAAATTGAAAAAAAAAATGGTGGCTTTTCGTTTTAGTAAGTGTAACGAGTCGAAACTGTAGTCTTGTGACTGACTCTTTATTCTTCGAACCTTCTTTCTACATTGCTTGATTCCTTCTGCTTAACTGTCCCCTATATCTGATAACATGTAATTTACCATTAATTATTAAGTCCTTATACGGAATAATGTCAATCATTGCAATCACTACAGTTAGGACATAAAACATTTCAGTGAAAAGGAAGTTTTCCGAAAACGTTGACGTCACGATAATCATGTGATTTGTCTGACCCAGTCTTCCTCAAACAAATATCGAAAATGACGCTTCTGCTGCCATAAATTCCAAATGTCTCCAGCGTAGTGTGGACCGGGCGTAAGTCTCTTTACGGAGATGACTGACATTATCAGAGCATATATGGACTAATTTACCGATGGTATACGGATCGAAAACATTCTTTTACGATTTGTCAAACGGTATGGATCGCAAAGTTGTTGTTGTTGTTGTTTTTTTTTTCAACCGCATCAATTTGTGAATGGACGACCCTCACTGTAGGAGGAAGTTGTTTTATGGCAATAGCCAAGCTTTCGTTGTTAGATCGCTTCAAATCTCTTTGCTTTAATCAGGTTATGTCAACGGCTACCTTTAGGGTGGCGTTCGACTGCGAAGGCTTTCATTGAGCGCATTAACCGTCCGTAATCCTAAACTGATAAAAGAATCACTGAACCCATGTATTTATTTATACATTTATTAAAAATCTGAGTAAAACATAAATACGTGTATTTTTACGATGAAAACGAGCTGTTAGCCGAATCGAACACGTAAAGCAATCCGCTTTTTAACTCGAAGATTGCCCAGCTCCAACTGGAACACATCTAGAAATATTATATTTTCACAATTTCTTGTTGAAAATCGACGGCTTTTCATGAATCATTCCTTCTCCAAATTTCTTTGAAAAAACTCCTGCCTTCCTTCGCTCGGCTTGTGCTGTGTCATTCGCCTCGACGACTCCAAATCGACGTCGCTTCTCAACCCTTTTTTCGTCTTCTGTATTGGGGACATTATCCATTGGACGGCTCGAGTATTGTTCCTTTTCTCTAGCACTTCCCTCTCTGTTGCTTGTGATCTCTGCATTTTTAAGACTTAGGTGAATCTGATTTTTTTCAAGACCTTGAACATGCTCCGTCTTCAAAGGGTCTGCTTTTGACATATTGCCACCTAAAACACTCATTTTCTCCTGGCTTTTTTCTCCCGTTTTCAAACCTTCACTTCGAGTTGACTCAGCCATTTCGCTCGAAATAAGAGTAAATTTACCTTGAATTTGTCACAAATAAATTATGTATCGCTGAAAATGCGGTCCGTTGCGTAAGTACGGCGGGATGATTTTCAATGTGTAGCTTGTTGTTGTAATTACAACAGGAAAAACGTAATGATCACTCTGTTCGGCTAAGCCACGAAAGCAAAAGATCATGCGAGCAATCAGTTTCGGAACAACAAACAACCTCGTTCCCAGGGTTTTTCCTTGGGTGCAAACTCGGTCGACTTCCATGATCCTCCAAGAAAGTAGAGCGAAGGTTCACAGGCTATGCATCATGCAATATCATTTGTTCTTTAATAATTAGACGCCACTAGATGGATTTGTGTTTGCTAGAGCGAGATTCAACTCCTCCACGCTTTGTAAATAGCCAAATGGTCAGCCTCCCACCAGTTGCGATTTTTGACAAGTTTCTGTTCAATATACAATATTTGTTTGCTTGTTTCAGTGTCCCCAATGAGTACAGTAGTGTTAAACACTTTGACACTCAAATAAAGTGATTTGTTTTTCACTAGCGACGGAGTCGGAGTTGGAATCAGAGTCGGAGTCGTAAGAGCTCTTATGACCTAGTGAAAATCAAAAATCGGAGTCGTAAGCGGAGTCATAAGCTCGACGGAATCGGAAATCAGTGGAAGAATCAGAAGGCTTCCATTTCTTCCGATTCCGTTTACGACTCCGCCGCTTACGATCCAGTGACAACTAGATTGTCGGAGTTGAAAGAACCTGTCAATCACAAGGCCCGGAATCGAGCATTGTCTTTGGTTTATTCTTCTGCTTCTGCTTGTGACTCCGACAATCTAGTTTTCACGAGATCGTAAGCGACAGAGACATTGGTGTTCGGCTTCCGACTCCGTCAAATTAATTTTCACTAGATCGTATCGCTCTACGCTTCTGATGTCGACTCCGACTCCGTCGCTTGTGAAAACCAGCCTTAAAGCAATCGTGTAGCGTAGTAGTGATGTCAAACCAATTACGGTAGGAAGCACGTGAAAACATCGACCATGGAACTGGTTTTAAAAACAATCTCACTGAAAATTTCCCATGGATACGGCCACGAAAATTCTCCTAAATGACGTCATAATATTTTTCAGAACACCCTTCTAAGCACGCCCAATAATCCTTCTCACTTCATAGTGGGACTCAACTTTTAAAATGGCTATACGTTCAATTACTTGAAATTTGAAAGTGTATTGATTGGGTTTTGGAAAGCATTTTTGACCCTTTATTTGGCAGGAGCCTATGACCCCAGTTTTGAGTGTATTAAATAACTCTAAACTAAAAAGCTTTCCTATTTGGCCGAGTGGTTTAGGGCGCTGGATTTGAAATCTGGAGGTTTCTGGTTCAAATCCTCCGCCCTACCGCTATCTGGATTTGTTCTCTTCTAACCGGGAGACCGGGAGATTTGATGAAAAACTTGGAGACTCCCGGGAAAACCGGGAGAGTTGGCAGGGCTGCATTTTTTATCAATTTACAGTCATCACCGATCAGGCTGCAGGTCATGATCAAGTCACAGGCCAGGTCACGGAACTGTGCGGTGACTACTCAGTACTGGCTGGTTTTGCGTACGCAAATGACGCATATTTTACTAAGTCTGTTTTTGAGTGACCTGTACGTATGACCTGTGGAATGTGGCCTGCAAAAAGTCTGAAACTTGAATGTTTCCCAGGACAACCCCCCGATGATCAAATTCCGATCCCCCAGGGCAAAGATGATGTTTAAATACCTATCTTAGGGTTATCCGGAGACCCAAGGTCAGTCAGTGAGTGCAACTGTTGAGGGCTTCATGAGGTATAATTCCTCTCAAATATGCACTCGACACTCAAGAAACGTTTTGGTTACAATAATTATTTGTAAACAAAACTTTTTTCAAGCAAAATGTGGGCAAATAACTAAGAAAGATATAGCAGTTGAAAGGACCTTTGTGAAGGCTTCATATTGGAACATACACAAAAAAAAACTGGAGACCTGATGGATGTGTACCAATTGGGTAGAATAATGCAAATGATTTTTTCTGTCCTCTCAGGAGGCAGCTTTGTAGAGCCATTTGGAACTGACCTAGTAAGACTCTATCCCCAGGGGCTCCTTGCCTTCTCTCCAATTTCTTTGCCAATGTTTTTTCCTGCTAGTTAAGTTTCTGTCTCCCTCATTGACTGGCCCTCACTGGGTCTCCACGGATAATTGCTTGTTTTCAGCTGAAGGATTTTAAGCATGGAGAGGTAATTGAAAGTTATAGAAAAGTTATTGCAATAACCTGTTAAGAGACAACTTTTTGCAAAGTTTAAAAAAGTCTATAGTTCAGATTCAAAGCCATCTCGAATTTTTGAAAACTGGTACAGACTGGTTTATGGGCTCTGCTATGAACTCTTCACAACACCCACACCCAACATGGTAATTCAATCCCTGTCAATATGTAATCAGTAATTGTGATAATCTTATCTCGTCTTTAAGGATGTCCGTGAGGAGATAGAATTTCAAGTCAGTCGTATTTGCAATGCATGTAATGTTAGCCCTTCATTAAAAGACATGGAACACATAATGAAAATGATCATGGAGACAGGTATCAGTTTTGTTAAATTTTCGTTTTTATTAATTAGCTCATTCCTTCTGCCTCATTGTAGCCCCCCTTAGTAAACCGCTTTAAATTACAATGTTTTGAGAGGAAGCCTCGTCAGTCAGCCTTACCTGGTTTTCATGTGGGTCCTCTGATCTGTCCTGGTGGAATTGGAATTTGGAGATGTTGGTTTTTTTGGAGGGAGAAAAACTGGAGAAAAACCCTTTCAGCAAGGTGAGAACCACCAACAAACTCAACCCACATATGGCACTGGTTCGGAATTGAACCCGAGCGACTTTGGTGGGAGGTCAGCATTTTTACCACTGTGTCATCCCTTCTCCCTGCTTTTTCTCCAGCCCATCCCTTTTCCATGTGCAAGGTTTTCTTTTTAAAACTACAACCATTCTCAATGGTGTGCTCTAGAAGCAGCTAGGTGCCACAGGCAACTAACGTTTGCCTTTGGGTGACTGGAAACTTTTTCATATAAATTGGAAATAAGTGTTGGACACCCAGGATTTCATGGCTAGGAACCTTTGGGCTCCTCATGATTTTTCTTAGACCCCAGCCCTCACTTTCTACTTCTATCTAAATGCTGGAAATGGGAATTTAAACTCTGCCTTTTATGAAGCATTGCAGGTGTAGCTTCACCCTAAAGGTTAGTCTGGTTGGCCAGTTTGCTTGAATCAGCCAATTAACACCAACCCAGGATTAAAGGTCAATTGTCTGAGAATTCATTTGTGTTTATTCTCTACATACACTGTACATAGTATTAAACTTCACGTGTCAGCGAAATTGCACTGACTGAATTGCTGTTTCAAAGTTGTAGTTTACGCACGCTAATCAATTTTTTCGACAATTTCAAGAGCCGAGTTATGGTGAATGTCCATCTTTTAGTCTTAGCAGGAATTTAAAAATATCCAGCAATGTTTCAAACTGTTTCTCCAAAACTACAGAAAAATGAGAAAACATCACCTCCAGCCATTTCACACTTGTTTAATGGCTGATAATGTATGATAGCTCAGTACGATTGCACAGCATTTGCCTTACCATACAAGTAGAATTTTACTAAATCCTCTTAATACTTTGATGTTTACAATCAGTAGGCATTCATCATTTGACTTAAATATGTCTGATCTATCTTTTTTAGTCACCGAATTTTCTGTGGCATCTCTCCATCTTCATCAGAGTGAAAAAATGGGCATTTGTTATAACATAGCTCATGTTTTTCGTGCTTGAACACGCATGCAGAATTTAAACTGGAAACAAAGGAGTATATGAGCATGCGGAAAGACTTTTCTTTCATTCACCACATTTGCGTCCATTGTTGAGTGCAATGACTCTAAAAAGAGTCTCTTGGTATAGCTTGTAATTCCTCATTTGAGGATTGTGGAATTCTAATTCTCTTTACTTGCTTTAGGTGAAGCATGTGAAGGTGTCATGAAGGTTGTATGCTATTGCTCCGTGGGTTACCGATCAAGTTATCTTGCTCAGCGTTTACTATGTGAACTGGACAAACCTGTTTATCAAGAAATGAAATCCAAGGTTATGGTATACAATTTGGAAGGTTCAATCTTTAAATGGGCAAATGAAGGAAAAGAGCTTGAAGATAACAAAGGACTAAAGACTCTTGTAGTACATCCTTATAATGTTGTATGGGGAAAGCTACTGAATGCCGAGCTGAGATGCTCAGAACCAAGGGAATCAAGTGAGAATGAAAGGGAAAGGCAGCCGAAACTCTGATGGCATCAAATGATATGTAAGTTGACAAAGTTTATTATCATTTATAGCTGTTCAGGTTGCAAAGTCCGGCCTCAAGAGTCCTCATGGGCCCGATGAGGATAAGTGTGAGTGAGGTTGCAAAGTACTATTTACTTAATGCTCTTCACCCCCTGTGGGAGAAAAGGTAACAACAATCTCTCTTCATTTATCCCTATTTGGAATGCCATCTGGTCATTCTTCACAGAGTACTCAGTCACAAGATTGTGGAATGCAAAATTTCATAGCTTTTGGCAGAAGGCCTCAGGTTACTGGTTGTTATGTGGCTGAAGTTTTGGGTTCAATCAGTGTGACAGAAAATCACCTTTCAAACTGATTTTTTTCTCAGACATTACAAGAGAAGGTTGTAGCACATTTAGCTTGTGACCAAACCCATTTCAAGCTTAGACATTTGTAGATTTTATCCCTGCTCTTGTGCCTAGTCAGTCTGGCATATTTCATTTAATGACTATAGCTTTCCTGCGCCAGCCACTGACAATGCAGTCTAGACATGAAGCGCCCACCCATGTGGCAGCAAGATAGATTAAACTGGTACGTAGAATCTCATCTCAAGTTTTAGGAGCTGTTTTTATCTACTTTCAATATTTACTTACTTTTATTTCGTGAAAAGAACTCAGTCAGACCAACTTTATATATATAAAGGTTTTTGCTTCCCGAAAGTAACCAGGCCCAAAGGTTGTCAACTCTGAAACTAACGAGGGTTGTTACTCTCAAACTTTTACAGTAGTTAGATTTTTTGCAGAGAAAAGTTTTGGAAATTAATTCCCCTCATTTTATGGAACGATTTATACTGTCATGATCATTTGGAACATTTTTTGATTTTTTTTTTCCGTTTCTTACCAGTGACTTACAGAGCCATGCATAAAGATGAAAAAGAATTCCAACAACAAATTGGCTTCAGAATGTTCTTAACTGAGTTTCAGCGCTGTTCAGATGTTTATAGTCCCGGCTTATAAGTGAAATCCTCCCACAAGCCACTGCTTTCTTCCTGTCCTGTTGCCTGGGTCGTCGAGCCATGTGGCGCGCAAACAAGACAAGCAAAATCGCCGCAGATTCAAAACCCTGGACTTGAACATGGAAATCATATAATGTGATTATAGTCTGCGTATGAGCGGAAAGGCTAGACTCCTGGTAGCCAATCTTTTCTCTCAGGGATAGACGCGGGTGTTTATCCATGAACACGAACGCAAAAGGGTGGTATGGACGATTAGGGGTTGAGGCCATGTCTCGTCCCAATCCCTTCGCGTCTGAAATGTCTCCCCCAACCTCATTCCCAGGGCATTTCCCTTTGAAATTGAGAAAAGCCCTGGGAACGAGGTTGATAATGCCCGCCTCATTTCGAGAAAGAAACAGACTGTCAGCAGTCTACGAAAAGGCCCGAACAGCCACCGTTAAACTTTTATCGCGAGGGAAGACCATCAAAAAGTCAAAGCCCAGAGGACTGATGACAGAATATTGTCACTGACTTGAAATCTAAATATAATGTGCTAGTTTTGTTAAAAATTACTGTTTAAGTGTACTGAAGCTATCAAAGGCTAGGTAGGCATGTACAAAGTTGTGATGTTAAACTGACAAAGTCTGACAGACGTACGTTTCCAAATTTTGTCGTCGTGCCTTAGAAAAATTGCTCAAAACCAATGAGAATTTGCCCTCAAACAATTATATGAATTTCATAGATTCTTTTTCAATTTACTCTCCTCTAGTCAACTTACTTGTATTGTCTTCTTGGTGTCCTAGGATTTATTATGTTTGATGCACAAGCGAAGGTACTCAGAAAAACAGTTACTTTGTTCTAGGATTTACAGTAAGCTGGCTAAAAGGCTGTCCAAGCTCATTCTAGCTCTCATCTAAATCTGGGGGTCTAACTTTAAGAGTCTGAACGTCTGGCGCTCGCACTTTAAACACTTTGAATTCTCGGTCTCACTATCTAAAAGGTCATAATGTCTCGGGCTTGAAGAGTCGCAGAGAAAAACGCTTGTCTCGCTAAGTCTCGCATTTACCATTCGCCACCCCTACATATAGCGTGGGGAATGTCACGTATTTTTTAAATGCGGAATCCTTTTTTGGTTCAAAAAGCAGTTTTACTTAATTTTCTTTTCAACAAAAAAGTTAATAATTAAAGTTCCGGTTTGCTACAGCTTGTTGTTCCAGCTTTGGTTAAATATCGACACTTTAAAATAAATGAAGACAACAAAAGAATCCTTTTTTTTTTTTCGATTTTAGCAGTTCTTTTGACAGCCAAAAAAATAAAGAATTTCATAAGGCAGTAAGCTGTGATACAATAACTGCCCCGTTCCTAAAAGTTCCTCCGTGACTGGAGTGAGGTGCCCATCAGAGTGGGTGCCCATGGCGTTGTGAGCCTATATATAGCACCCGAAAATCAGAACGCAACCTAACCATTAACCCGTAGAGCAAACGCTTCTGTAGTAAAGTGCTAACGAGTTAAGTCTGCTCGCGCGAAACGAAATTTAAAGCAGTTTTACTAGGGGCGAGAGAAAAAAAAAGACGGATACGGAGGTAGCTTTGTCGATAATTTTTGCTCTTGACCCAATTTTCACGTGGCCGGAATGCTGAGTGTTCGTACAAGAACGCTGGCTACTAACTAATGTTTCCTACGCAAGCTACGTAAACATCAAGCGCTGCGCTCCTAGTTTCAAGCTCTTCGTCGACAAAGCTCAACAGCGCATAGAAACAAATTTGAATTTTGAATTTCAAATGACTTACATCAAGAATTGAATCAGAATTGAATCAGAATTGAATCAGAATTGAATTGAATCAGGCAAAGGCGTTTGCATTCAGAAGTAAGCTCAATGATTCATTTTGGAATATCAAACGTCACACACAATGCAAACCAGCAATAAGCGTAGAAAGCTATTTAAAGGGTGTTACGAATATTTATCATGCAAATTTGCGTATAAAAATAAATGTCGCGCGAGGGCAAAGTCACAAGCCGCGAATTAAAATATTGCTTGTCTTCAGTGGAGCTTTTCATCACGCAATTACAGAACCACCAGCAGCAGATTAACAATTATGGCGGCCTTGCGGTTGGTAATCGAAGTAATAAAAAGACAATTTCCCAAAGTTCCAGTTATGACAACCAATGAACTGCATCAGTTGATGAGAACTACAACACAGGCACGACGAAAGCTTGTCTTGTTGGTGAGTACAGATCAAAACTTTAATGTACGAGTTGTGTGTAAACTTTACATCAATACATGTACAGCCTCCAACAGACTGGGAGTTAGCCGGAGATGGTTCTAGTCATATTTCCTGAAATAACTATCACGAAGGTGTAGTCAGGTGGATAAGATACGTTCAGTTGTGTACTGAGTGATTCTGAAGCTAAGCAGGGAAAGTAAATTTGATGACAGAAGCTCAGTGAACCTTCTATCGCGCAGTTTTTCTTTCTTGGTTATAATCTTGCTTGATAGACGTTCAAAGGGGAAGGAGAGGAGAAAACTAGCCGGCTGCAGTTCTAGGTTTCCTTCAGGTGTCGTATATTTTTTTCTTTCTTAACTAAACTCGCTTGAAGAAGAGAAAGACATTCTGGTTCGTGGTGAAATAAAATTTCAAACATGGGAATCTTGATCGATCTAATTTTGTACGGGGACAGCGAGGTCGACACCTCTTTACCCGTTTCAAAGGCGTAATGGTATTTGAATATCAGTCATGCATGCCGAGAAATATTCTTGTTTTGCAAAAACAAAATTTCGTACTTGTTCGCTTGAAGTGGCAAGCCTCAATAACTTGCAAAGGAAATATATTCACACTAAATGCGAAAAATTTTAAAGGGCTCATACTTTGAATGGTCACCTTTGAAACAACGTGAAGACGAAAAAAAGAGACTGTCGAGCGAATAAGAACCAAAACGACCCTTTGTCTCCTGATTAATTGTGTATGGTCCAAAACAAGAAAGACTTCCAGCTGTACAACGTGATAAATACATACATACTTTACTTGTTAAAAAACTGTTGGAGAGATCTGTCTCCATGATTAAAATTTTAAAAGGGAGTTAAAAAAACACATGAAAAACGTTAAACCTTCTGCGGTCTTCTACATTTCTCTAAAGAACACTGCAGAAGGTGGTTGAAAATTCAGCTTTAACGTTTTTTAGATCTGTTTTTCCTATACCATTTTTACAGAAAAGGTACTTTATATCTTTAATTGAAAAACGGTGCCCCTTTCACATACTTTCATAACGGGCCCGTATTATGAATAAATCGCCAAAACAGGAAGTCTTCTTGTCATTTGCATGTAGTCCTTAATAAATGAATGGTACAGCCATACGCTGCGTCTGTTCGAAATATTTTAATTAAAGGCCCTTTAAAATAACTAGATGACAGATTTCCCTACCCTTTCATATACCTCAACTTATGAAATCCCTACCCTTATATATACCTGAAGCCTGGAAAAGGCCACCCTTTCGGTCCCCTTATAGGCCATTATAGGGACTACCCCCCCCCCCCCAACCCCTGGGCTTATCTCAACGAGGTGGTGAGTTGGTTTGTCGATCCGTGCGGGTTTTACAGATCGATGGCCGTTTTCGGTCCGTATGCGATCTGAAATTGCTTCTCATTAGAAAACATCAACCGGGGGTTCACTGTCACAACAACAACAAACGCAAATATACATGTTCGGATCTTCAACTCTGTTCGATTCGCCCCTTCACTCAGGTTGAAAAGTGGCGTGATTTATATTCTAAAGCCCCGTCCATAGTTCTTTTTTTACGGTTAGGCCTACCGTCCACCCACAGTCGTGGACAAAAGTCCCTGAGACACTTATGTAATTTAACGAATTGTATGTGTTTTACTACTGAAGTTTGAAAAAAGCGGTGTTTTCCTTCTAAAAACGTGTTACTTTTCCCCCTCCCCACCCAATACAATGTTGAAAATCACAGAAGAAATTGCAGGTAGTAGTTTTCAACATTTTATGGGGGGTGGGGGCGAGGTTAGGCAGGTGAAGTTGTATTCGCGTCTGGCGTGTGCGCAAAAGCCCCCAAAGTGCAAATTTGTCCCAAGATGTTTGTCCATAGTTGTAGCTTAATACGGAGAAATTGTCCACTGAAAACGGAGCTTTGCGAAAACGCTTTTCAAACCGAAGGAAATTGAAAAAAAAAATGGTGGCTTTTCGTTTTAGTAAGTGTAACGAGTCGAAACTGTAGTCTTGTGACTGACTCTTTATTCTTCGAACCTTCTTTCTACATTGCTTGATTCCTTCTGCTTAACTGTCCCCTATATCTGATAACATGTAATTTACCATTAATTATTAAGTCCTTATACGGAATAATGTCAATCATTGCAATCACTACAGTTAGGACATAAAACATTTCAGTGAAAAGGAAGTTTTCCGAAAACGTTGACGTCACGATAATCATGTGATTTGTCTGACCCAGTCTTCCTCAAACAAATATCGAAAATGACGCTTCTGCTGCCATAAATTCCAAATGTCTCCAGCGTAGTGTGGACCGGGCGTAAGTCTCTTTACGGAGATGACTGACATTATCAGAGCATATATGGACTAATTTACCGATGGTATACGGATCGAAAACATTCTTTTACGATTTGTCAAACGGTATGGATCGCAAAGTTGTTGTTGTTGTTGTTTTTTTTTTCAACCGCATCAATTTGTGAATGGACGACCCTCACTGTAGGAGGAAGTTGTTTTATGGCAATAGCCAAGCTTTCGTTGTTAGATCGCTTCAAATCTCTTTGCTTTAATCAGGTTATGTCAACGGCTACCTTTAGGGTGGCGTTCGACTGCGAAGGCTTTCATTGAGCGCATTAACCGTCCGTAATCCTAAACTGATAAAAGAATCACTGAACCCATGTATTTATTTATACATTTATTAAAAATCTGAGTAAAACATAAATACGTGTATTTTTACGATGAAAACGAGCTGTTAGCCGAATCGAACACGTAAAGCAATCCGCTTTTTAACTCGAAGATTGCCCAGCTCCAACTGGAACACATCTAGAAATATTATATTTTCACAATTTCTTGTTGAAAATCGACGGCTTTTCATGAATCATTCCTTCTCCAAATTTCTTTGAAAAAACTCCTGCCTTCCTTCGCTCGGCTTGTGCTGTGTCATTCGCCTCGACGACTCCAAATCGACGTCGCTTCTCAACCCTTTTTTCGTCTTCTGTATTGGGGACATTATCCATTGGACGGCTCGAGTATTGTTCCTTTTCTCTAGCACTTCCCTCTCTGTTGCTTGTGATCTCTGCATTTTTAAGACTTAGGTGAATCTGATTTTTTTCAAGACCTTGAACATGCTCCGTCTTCAAAGGGTCTGCTTTTGACATATTGCCACCTAAAACACTCATTTTCTCCTGGCTTTTTTCTCCCGTTTTCAAACCTTCACTTCGAGTTGACTCAGCCATTTCGCTCGAAATAAGAGTAAATTTACCTTGAATTTGTCACAAATAAATTATGTATCGCTGAAAATGCGGTCCGTTGCGTAAGTACGGCGGGATGATTTTCAATGTGTAGCTTGTTGTTGTAATTACAACAGGAAAAACGTAATGATCACTCTGTTCGGCTAAGCCACGAAAGCAAAAGATCATGCGAGCAATCAGTTTCGGAACAACAAACAACCTCGTTCCCAGGGTTTTTCCTTGGGTGCAAACTCGGTCGACTTCCATGATCCTCCAAGAAAGTAGAGCGAAGGTTCACAGGCTATGCATCATGCAATATCATTTGTTCTTTAATAATTAGACGCCACTAGATGGATTTGTGTTTGCTAGAGCGAGATTCAACTCCTCCACGCTTTGTAAATAGCCAAATGGTCAGCCTCCCACCAGTTGCGATTTTTGACAAGTTTCTGTTCAATATACAATATTTGTTTGCTTGTTTCAGTGTCCCCAATGAGTACAGTAGTGTTAAACACTTTGACACTCAAATAAAGTGATTTGTTTTTCACTAGCGACGGAGTCGGAGTTGGAATCAGAGTCGGAGTCGTAAGAGCTCTTATGACCTAGTGAAAATCAAAAATCGGAGTCGTAAGCGGAGTCATAAGCTCGACGGAATCGGAAATCAGTGGAAGAATCAGAAGGCTTCCATTTCTTCCGATTCCGTTTACGACTCCGTCGCTTACGATCCAGTGACAACTAGATTGTCGGAGTTGAAAGAACCCGTCAATCACAAGGCCCGGAATCGAGCATTGTCATTGGTTTATTCTTCTGCTTCTGCTTGTGACTCCGACAATCTAGTTTTCACGAGATCGTAAGCGACAGAAACATTGGTGTTCGGCTTCCGACTCCGTCAAATTGATTTTCACTAGATCGTATCGCTCTACGCTTCTGATGTCGACTCCGACTCCGTCGCTTGTGAAAACTAGCCTTAAACCAATCGTGTAGCGTAGTAGTGATGTCAAACCTATTACAAATCAAGCTTGAAGCATAAAACGTGTTGCGGTAGGAAGCACGTGAAAACATCGACCATGGAACTGGTTTGAAAAACAATCTCACTGAAAATTTCCCATGGATACGGCCACGACAATTCTCCTAAATGACGTCATAATGTTTTTCAGAACACCCTTCTGAGCACGCCCAATAATCCTTCTCACTTCATAGTGGGACTCAACTTTTAAAATGGCCATACGTTCAATTACTTGAAATTTGAAAGTGTATTGATTGGGTTTTAGAAAGCATTTTTGACCCTCTATTTGACAGGAACCCATGACCCCAGTTTTGAGTGTATTAAATAACTGTAAACTAAAAAAGCTTTCCTATTTATGGCTCAGGAAAATTCTCGTGCACGCACAATAACCAATCAGCGCGAAGACCCATGTTGTTATTTCGTCCAGTCTGGAGGGCTAGTGAGATTTTGCACATACTTTCTACCACAGCACGTTTTATGCTTCAGTACTGATTTGTTGTCCGCTGATTTTATCGTTTTTCCTCTCCTTTTAGCATCACTATAGTTGGTCTTTACAAGAAATAACCTGAAATTTCTTTTGCGCGTATTAACTAACGCTAAACTGAAAAAGAATCACCGGACTGGTTGATTTATTTAACCTTTATTTAAAATCAGAATAAGACATCAATACATGTTTGTTTTCCAAGCTATCTTAGTGGAATTAAATTCAAAAAGCAATCCGATTTTTAGGTCGAAGATTTTCCTACTTCCATCTGGAAAACAACAAGAAAAATTATATT